CCATAATACCACCGAAGAAACCTCCAGCATGCCTGGACGAACTCCTCCTCATTCGCTGACGCTGTCCGCGCTGCGCTTTGCAACGACGCTTTTACAGCCACCTCGTTGTCCGTATTCGGACACCCTTGAACCATACGTGCCACCTTCAATGCTTGCTTTGGTGAACACCAATCCATTTCATCAATGATCTGAAGCGCCACCTCCTTTTCCAAACAAGGGCACCCATTCAGATCACGAACGCGAAGTTCCCCCAGAACAGGATGTGAGGCTGTGCACTTGCCACCACGCCACTGAACTCTGAGACCAACCAAGGCGCTCGCTTTGCCAATTGGCACTAGTGGATCTACCATTTCAGGAGTTACCAGGGTCCCACCTGGGGTAATACACATCTCCCGAGATCCAACAGCTAAAGACACCAACACCTTTTGCTGCGGAAGCTGTTCACCAGGACGAAGTGATCTGAGAGGATGTGATGCTCCCGAGTCCAACATGCCCATTCCCGAACACTCATTGGTGTCAGAAACCCTGGCCACATGTAGAACGCATACTCCTCGGCCTTCTCCCTGCTTCGGCAACAACGTGGCATCCGACGAACCGACTCCACAGTCCGCCCTTCCATTCCTCCATTGAGAATGGGACCAAGACGCACGCTGCCTTTCAGCATGCAAAACCATTTTTTCAGCTGTTTTGTAATCCAACCACAAGAGCTGGTCCAGCGAAGATTTTGCACCCATGTGACACGTTCCATTGATCACAGTGAGGTTCGCCCCAAACTCCAGAATCAACCAGAGAGGGATAATCAGGGGCCCATTGTCTTCCCTAATCAACGTCCCTTTCTCTGTAATCCTCATTGTCACATTGTCACACCACCAAGCGCGCTTTGCACCATAACAGTAGTGTCTGGTAAACATTCCCATGGAAAAAGCGTCCGCGCAAGATGCGTAGCAGCTGTATCCACCAATGCCACTCTCCCTTCCTGCTGAAGCAGCCCAGAGCCACATAACATTCGAATACTGGGATCCCCGCTTGATGCCGACTGTTCTGATGACAGCTTCATAGATTTCAGCACTTCTAACGCTTCAACAAGGACCTGATTGGCCGTTGATGGCGATGAGGGACTTGCAGAACCTTTATCCAATCCCGCATTAGCCGTCTCATCTCCCCCTTCAGCTACCTCTGCCTTTTTGGCATTTCCCCATTTCGCACCTTTGCCGCCCTTTCCCCCTTTGGGAGAATTCCCTTTAGATCTACTCCTCTCAGGATTTGAGTCCACATTGGAACTTGCACCATCCTTATATGGACATTGCGGCTGCAGATGGCCAACGGCCCCACACTCAAAACATCTTCCTCGCTCAAGGGAGTCTTTGTCATGGCGAAATTTGCAGCGGGATCCGAACTTGCAACCTGCATCGGTCTTCCCATATATCCAACAGAAAGGACGTTCACCATCTCCGCTGTACCTTTTTCCTTTCCCTTTGCCTTTGTCACCCTCCTCTGTCTCGTCACCAGTTCCCTTTTGGGCCTTGTTTAACCTGGCCCTTTTCTTGGCGTCCGAGTCCTGTTTCACCTCTTGTTCACCAGCACTATGCAATAGCAGTTCAAACTCTGCCTGTAACATTTCAGCTAGTTTTGTCGCAGTTTCAGAGGTCGGCGAGTAGTCCACCCGGAATTTCTCCCGAAAGGATGCCACTCTGAAATGAACCGTAGGGTGTTTCGCCAGCAACGCGGATGACAAACCACCCAATCCCTTGATAAGCAAGGTAGCGTCCGGCTCGGCCGCTCTCAACTCCCTTAATCGGGAACGCCATTGCGCCCATTGACGCACTCCCTTAATGGCCTCTGAGATCGAGGTTGCTGGAGATGGTTGCACCAAGAAGTTCAACATTGTGCTGCGCTCATTTGCTCCACCTGGTTGGTAGACCGTCAGCAATTTGTAGAATATCATCACTGACCCCAACATTCGAGTGGAAACGATCTCGGTCTTCAATCTCTCCGGGATCGCCTGTAGCAGCAAAGACACCGCTCTCTGCTCCAACAAAACATGCACAGTTTGAACCACTTGAGCCCTTCCAGCTCAGCCTTGATGCCCAACCTTTCCAGCGGAGAAACACTCAACCATTTGGCATACGCTTGATATGCCTTTGAGTAGACGCATTGCCACCACACTCTTCCTGTATCTGTCAGTGAAGACAACATTGGTTCGATCATTGCGATCCAATCACCCAGTGCCGTCGGATTGCTTGGTGTGTAGTCTGCCAAAGTTGGAAGGCTCATCACATGCTTCCCGAGAGCCTCCGGACGTTCGGTTCCAGAACTATCACCAGTGATTGGCATACCACGTGGCACCACTGCTCCAGGAGGTAAACTGACCCTACGGCCAGGCCCTTGAGGTAGTCCATGTCCTATACCGGGCGTAACAGCTGTGAGCGGAACCTTTTCTAATTCCAACTTCCCAGCGACCATTTTCCACCGATACGGAACATCATCCACCATTGTATATCCGCCCGATCCTGCTGAGTTCTCTTGCGTTGCAGTTTCCCGAGCTGAAACAAAACCGGGCTGGTTCCCCACAGGTGCGGCAGAACCATCAACACCTGACGGCGCAGAAGTAATCGGAACATGTGTTAAACCAGGTGGTCCACTTGCATATCCACCACTTGCAGGACCTCCCGTGGGGTAATTCAATGGAGGCAATCTGGAGGGTTTCTTCCCTTCAGCTACATGCATCATTGGCACTTCTTTTTCATCCTCCACTTGAACATCCCCCTTCCTGGACCCAGGCAAGGATTGAAGATCACAACCCTTTGGCAGGTCGTAGCCCTCAATAGGCAGCCATGACCCATCCGGCAACACAGTCCAAAAACCACCCATACCATCCGTGTAGAAAACTTGTCCTGGCAGGTACTGCTTCTCTGGAGTCATTCCTAGAGGATATGCCGTGTTTGCGTCCACTACTCCAGAGCTCCGTGCCCTTGAAGCTGACCCAGATGCAGCAGAGGTATAGCTTTTCTCCTCCACCCGATGCAACCTGTTCCCCAGCTCCTTTGTTTGCACAAGCAACTCTTTCAGCGCACGCTTTACCACCGCCATATCTTCAGTTTGCTCTTCACCACTAACATCAGGAATGAGTTCTTCGTCGGCTTGCACTCCACCAATAGTACCTCGCTCCATTTGGCCCATTAAGCCTGACGATGGTCTCTCAACAGGTGCAGGTTCCTGACCCAAAAGATCTTGCAGCGAAGGCGGCCTCCTCGTACCTTCACCACTTCTATCCCCTCCGCTCGCGGGAAGACTTGCCGGCCTTGATTGCCTAAGTCTCATTTCTTCTTGAGCCCGCTCGCTCCAGAAAGGATTTGCTGCTTGAACCGGAACCACTTCGTTTTCCACCTGAGGCGTTGGTTGTATCATTGCAACCTCCCTACCATCTGTCAGCGCTTGTACCATTTGTTGTCGATCTTCACCCCCATCACCACGATTTCCTTCGGCTTCATTGGCCGTTGGCGACAGTCCAGGCTCAGAGCGACGCCGCATCATGTCCATGGCGTTAAACAAACGAAAAATCTTTACCAATTCCGCAGGAAGCCTAATTTGGGCTCATAACCTACGGGGGCAACCGAAGGGGGACGAGAAACCAAACAGTCAACCCCAACAGAAACCCTTGATTCCCCTGGAACAACCAACAACCAAACAACAAGACCCCAAACCAAGGGCACACTTTTTACGAAACCTTCGACCGCTTTGGTCATGGCTTGAGCCATAAGATTACCGGGTGCATTGACCCTTCAACTTCCAATACCAACTCCTTTCTACAATACCAACTGCAGCTCCGCACCCTAAACCCGACCCTCCCCCTCCCAAAAAGAACAGCAAAGCGCAAACAAAAAGCCACACAAATGTTCACCGTGTTTGCTACCCAGGTCGTGTACTCAAATTTATGTCTGCTACTGTAGCGTTCTGGTCGAATGCGTCCACGACTGCCCTGACTAGTTGCTATCTACCAGTGGCAGCGGGACCACGGGAGGCTTGGGAGGAGAACTTAACAAGTCCACAGGTTTTTGACACAGAGTTTAGGGAGTCCGTCCTGCTCCGGCCTGCTGCTTGCTTTCCTTGGCCCTTGCCCTGCCCAACTTGGATCTGTCTTACTAGATGTTTGGGGTTCTGGTGGGTCTGGTTTACAGCCGCTGGTGGACATCCTCTTGGTTCGGTATTTGTGGTGCCGCCTGGTCCGTCTGCACACACGAACCGCCGCTCGCGCCTCCCCTGACTACCGGCTTCTTGAATCAGGGCGAGCTTTTGCCGAAAGGCGTGTGCGTATGGTGCGTCCACGACCGCTTGGGCGATCTTCGCCGCAGCCGCCCTGAGTGCGGGAGGCTTTTGCCACCTGTCTACCCAGCTGTTGGGTGACCTTGACGGTGGCCTCCTTGGCATACGTGATCGCACCATCGAGCTGGGCGACCCCAGGCCATCGACCCAGCTGCAGTTCTCATGGGGACACTCACCTTCCCCAACGCCAACAGGCGTCAATACGTCCTTGTGGTGTGTTTCAAGATCCAGTCGTTGTGACTGTGCCGCCCCTCATGGCATGGAACAAACCATTTGCCCGGAGACGACTGCCGCCTCTGGCTCTTTTGAAGGATGGCGCTGCCCAAGGGATCCGCCCGCGTAGCACTGAAGGTGAAAGTGTGGTTGGGAGCGGGTTGGGTCTGCTGTCGGCGCTGGGGGCCGAAGGGCAAAGAGGAGGCCGATGTGAAGGCGGCTCGCGGATCTGTGAGCTGCTTTCGTTGACCGTCCGCCTTTGAAACGTGCGTGCCAAAACGAGCCTTGCTTCAGTTCTGGAATATGAAGCTGAGCATCAACATGATTCTTAGTACTCACGAGTTATTAGTATTGTTATTCGTGGTCGTAGTGGTTGTAATTGTTGTGGTCGTAGTGGTCGTAGTCGTAGGCACGGCGGGAAGTTCCTCAACGTTGGAATAGTTACCAGACCAGCACATGAACAGGCTAGCCCGACAGCCCACGACTCCTTCGGCAAGACTCCAGTGGACGAGGCTTGCGGATTTTGGCCCTTATTCTGCGCATTTTTGTGTTCTTAACTCGAACCAGGTGCTGTGTAATCTTGGAACGGTCCGATCTTCTTCCATTGCGAGAAAGACAAACATGCGTTCCATCACAAAAGGGCAGGGCACATCGCAACAAGCCAAGCCTCGGCCGAGGAACCTCGTTCTTGGACAAACACAGCAAAGTAGTTCCAGATAATGGTCCATCCCGCAAGACTAGTTGGTTGCAAGCAAAGTGATGAAAAGAGCTGTAGGAGGAGTTTGAAAATTATGATAACCGCGAGGGTGAAAGACGCGAACGTGCATTTTGCTTTTAGTTTTGTAACGTTGTACTCGCTTTTGTGTCTTTGCATTTTTTGCTGCGCTTGTCTTGTTTTCGCATTTTGCGTTTTTCTCGTTTTTGCGTTTTGCTATTTTGCGCGTGCCTCGTACGGCACGACGATCGGAAGGTTACCCTAGCCCCTGTTAGGGGTGGTGGAATTTCCGTTCCAGCGAGAAGTTTTGGGCAGTGGTCTGGATAGAAGTTGCCAGCATTTGGGGTAGAAGTTTCACATATTCCGCTCGGATTCTTTTTCTAAGTTCGGGGTACACGTACAAGTGCTCCTACAAGAAGGGAGGCTTCTGAGCCTGCTGGAAGGATGGTTGTGGAAGCAGGGTGGCTTACATTTTCAATTTGCCCTAAGACCCCAAACGCCCAAAACCCTAAACGCCCCTATGCCCTAACGGCCGCGATTCCTAAACCCTAAATTTCCCAACCCCTCAACCCAAAAGCCCTGAAAGTTGGCCAGGTGATTCCAAAAAGGTTGCCAAGTCGTTCGGCAGATCCAGATAGTCTAGGTTGCCAAGTTACAAAGGAATCAGGTTGCTAAGTGAACCAGTTTGATGGGCATGCCTTCACTTTCTCACATTTAAAGCTCGCAACTGCTGCCCATCTTTACCCTCGACGTGGTTGGGGTTGGTTGTTTTCAATTCTCTCTATGGAGCCGGTTTTCTGTGATCCTGCAGAAGGAGGGAGTCTTTGAAGGCATGGTATTTTGTCATCCGGCCATTAAATCTACATGCCTGGGTGATATTCTCTGTGCGATGCCGAGGTCGAGTTGAGATGCAGCAACCACATTTGCACGTCCTTGTCTTTATCATGTTGACGGGCACGGTGCTGATGATAACATATTGCTGGAATGTTTGCAAGTGGAGAAGGCCTTCGATAAGAACGGCCTGATGGAAATGTTGTTTGTGATCTACTTGAGGGTTTGAAGCTTTCACAAACGATAGATCTGCTGTGATCTTGAGTTTTGGCTTCTCGCCGCAAAGTTCGAGTCACGAACCACCAAAAAAAACGACGCGCTGCAAACCCACATCACGAAAAACTAGCAAGTATAGGTGATTCTGCAGGGAAGAAGGGACTATAAAGCCGGTAGTATGGGTGGCGATTGCTTGGGATTTTTTGCGTACGGAAACAGTTAACACTTTCGGTTCATGCAAGTGTAGTAGTGGTACAATAATAGTCTCGATGGCTTGAGGCTTCACGAACCGCAATTTCTGCAGCCGGGATGTAGATGGCTTGGCTCGGCGCTCCTTGTTTTTCCTAGGTGCGGCTTGGCTTGGCTCCTTTGCTTTTCTGGAGTGTGGGCTGCGCAAGCTTGCTTTGAAGCATATCATGCCATCAAGAGGAATGGCTTAATTTTTACGCTACACGACCCACCTCGGCCTGGTGCCATGCAGCTCCCGGAGAATGGGCCGACATTGGGGTGGGGAGGAGGGGGGGGGTGGGATGCGGAACCCTGCACTGTCTGCTCCCACGCACCTCTTGCAAAGTACCCATGCCAGGGCAAAAAAAGCCAAATAAAGGCTGCCAGACAAAGGGCTTAAGCTGGTTGGGGAGGGGATTGGAGGTGAGGAAACCCGAAACCCTCAACCCTGACCGATTCCCCTGCCCATGGCCCCGCATCGCGCGAAGTGGTGGTTCCTCACTCCCCTAACTCACGAATTGCAGGCAAAAAAAGGGGGAGGATTTGGAGGGGGGTGCCCGGATTTTAACACTACGCGACTTGCCTCGGCCTGAGCTCCTGTAGCAAGGGAACGGGGTGGCCGGGGGGGGAGGGGGGGCAGGCGGAAGTGCCCCCTGGTACCTGATGGACCATGTGGTCCCGGACACTTGTCGGCTTGGGGGCGTAGCCAAAAGTGCATAAAGGGGGGCAAACCTTTCTGTGCAGTGTGGGGGGAGAGGACTAGAGGTGGGGTGGCCCGAGGCCTGGGTGGATTAGTCCTTTTCAGACGTGCCATTGCGAGCCTGTCTTGAAGAACATCCTGATGTCAAGAGGAATGACGGAAACAAGCCATAGGAATTGGTTCTAACCCCGTCATGCAAGCATTGCATGTGTAAATGGGGGTGCCAGCCCTCCGCTCTGATATGCCTTGTACGCTTGTCTTGTCATGCCGTCAAAAAGGAATAGCTCCGAAACCAATATGAGTCTGACTGAACTTTGTGTTTGCAAATCGGGGGGGGGGGGGGTTGCGCATCCGCCCTCCCCGAGCCCTCCCCTCTTCGAAGAACATCATGCCGTCAAGAGGAGTTGTGTCAACACCCATGTGAATGTTCCAACCCCGTCATAAGATCATTGTGTCTGCAAACGGAGCGGGCTGCGCCGAGACATGTTTAAGAGAACAACAAGCTCACACCTTTTGGGGCCGAACTCAACACCAAGCAAAACCCCGAGCCAAGCCACGAGCCAAGCCAAGCCAAAGCCAAAAAAGCAGCACTTCAGAAAAAAAGAAAAAGAACAGCCCTCCACTGCTCTATGGCGGCAGGGCTTCAGGGTTGCAGGGCATGTGACCTGAGGGTCGTTGAGGGCTGTGGTTTCAATTGTCTAGGGCCTAGGGCTCTAGGGTTTCAGAGCTTCAGTCTTTAGCTTTTTGGGATATGGGCACCAGGGGTCTAGGGTGTTGGGTCTTAGGGCTTAGGTCGGCTTCATGTTTTCGAATTTAAGGGTGATAAGGGGCTTTGAGGAGTTTAGGACTTGAGGGGTCCGCGCTGTGTGCCCAGCCTTATGCCCTTGGTGCAGTCCATGCGCAGAAGTGCGAAGCAATGCAAAACATGCTCGCATGCCAGGCTGTCTTGAGATCTATGCCAGGGTTACAAACTCTTTGCAAAGGCCACTCGACAGGCCACAGCCTCCGCAAAACCTGTTTGCGCCTTTGGACAGTCTCACCCGACTACCAGCCAACAACTTTCACAACAAGTGCATGCGGCGCGAGTTTCCTATGCAAATGGGGCTGCAGGACTTGAGGTGGTTTGGAGAAGCACATGGGCCCCAAAAAAGACGAGCCTTCCGTCATGCTCATCACAGGATGTCACATGTTACCCGTTTGGGGATGATCCATGGCATCGTGGTGCACAAACAGCCTCCCAAGAAACGAGGGAACTGGGGAACCCGAGTGTGCTTCAATGGCAGTGGGGGCACATGAGCCCATCCGAGCCCTAAACCGCGGTCCCCGCAAAGTTGCTGAGACCTTCCACTCCGCCAGGCCACTCTTGAACTCTTGCTCCCAACAACGTGCGCCGTGCGTTTTGAGATTTCAACTTTGGGGGCTTGTTTGAGCTTTGTAAGGCAACCCGCAAAGAAGTTCTTTTGATGTCAATAGATTCAATAGAATTTGATGTGTCGACGTGTGTTGGTGCATTATCTTTCTTCGTGACTGAGAAGGCCTTTCAGCACAACGATCCGGCAGTCTCTCGGAGAATTTAGTCGAAATGAGTTTGACTGCCATAGGCCCCAGCTTCCATTCGAGGTGATGAGAGCATTGGCAGAAGCCGGCGCAAAGATTCTCGACGAAGCGGCCGGGCAGAAAAACACCGACTTTGAGGCCCAGGATCTCAGGCATTCAAGTTGCAGCAGGTGCGGTATCCTGGTGTGGTTTGCCAGGCACTGAAGACCATGGCAGCATCTGAGCACTGGTCGATTGTTGCCTCGGAGGCGGCTGCGGTTGTTCTTTGCAGTTCTTGAATGTTTATGGCTATGGATCGCAGCTAGAGAGGGTCGGGACACACAAAACGCCGATAAACCCCTTGTTCCCTACCCTGGGTGGGAGCGGGGATGAGCTGTGAGGGCCGGCTGGGGACAGATTGTGTTTTCCTTCGCTGCCCTATCCCGGGGCAGGCTGGGTGTGACTGGGGAGGGCAGTGGAATTGGGCGTACAGAGGATTCCTCTTGTTGGCGGATTCTCCCGGCTTGCCAGCCGCGGCGTTTGGTTTCCGAATCGCCTTGACAGCACTGTAGCAAAGCAGGTTGTGCATCCCCATCATCATCCCCATCATCATCATCATCATCATCATCATCATCATCATCATCATCATCATCATCATCATCATCATCATCATCATGCCAATATGCATGCTGTAGATCATGGTGCCAATCATGATTATGTCACTCGCGTATTTTGTGTAACATCGTCCTTGTGCAGGTGCAGTTTGGAAAGTGTTTGTCCACAACCATCAAGAGCGCGGTTTACCTGGCAACATGGCGCGGGTTGAAGGCAAGTTGCGTGCTTCTTCGAGGTCCGTTCGGATCCGTTCAGTCTTTCGCCATGGGAAAATGCCAGGTCGTAGCAAAGACTGTGAAGGACGTGAGGTGGGACTCAATCAACCGCTGTAACTGGCTGGTCGCGATGGTAATTGACGCTTGACCAAGGGCCTCCGGTCTCAATACGCGCCGCCAAGATGAAGCAAGTGATTCTACTGCTGCTCGATTGCTCTCGAAGTCGGCTAGAGCGGCTAGAGGGTATGCTCTTGAAATGGAAGGAGTTCTGGATTTGCATGGACATCCCCGACAATTGACTCTGGTGCTGATGCCTGGTACTGTACTGAGGTTCAAATTGCGCGGGACGAGCTGCTGCATGAGATCAGGCCAGCACATGCCAGCACCAACACGCAGACAACTCAGCTTCCTGGCTTCCTGGCTTCGTTGGCTCCTGGCGCTCAGGACATTGTCCACCCTGCGACACCCGGACCTTGTACTGTTTTTGGGTGCCAGCCTGGACACTGATACCTGCTTCTTCCTCACAGAGTACATGGAGGCCTCCGCGGCCTTGGCACCCAAATGCACCCAAGAGATCATGTTGTATGTGGGCTTGTGCAGGGTGGAGATGTGGAGACGTACATGCGGGCCAATCGGATCAAGACAAACAGCAAGGAGTTCAAGCCGCCATACCACGTGTGAGCCTCGAACTTCCACTCTCTGTTCCACTGCTGGCTCTTGCAAGCTTCTTTGCTCGTCGAAAACCCTTTGCTACATAAAGCTGGAGGGTCGCGGCATCGGAATTTTTCCTCGGTGATCCGAAGTGTCAGCATGAGGTTGCGCTGTCTTGGTTCCTCTCTACGGCGAGGGCGTTGTCATTCTTGCATGGTTGTGCTCGCCGGGATCTGAGACTGTGACAGACTTCGTGGGAATCTCTCCCTCTCACTCTCACAGCTCCTTTGTCGGCACTTCAGCCTAGGACCCATTATTCACCGAGATCTGAAGCCTCTGAACCTCCTGTTGACGAAAGGACTGGAGTTGAAGGCAGTTGGCCATGCGGGCGCCGAGTGTTCAGGTAGGCAGCAGCGACATGCAGCGACACAATGCGACACAGGTCACAGACTTTGGCTTGAGCAAAATAATGCGTCCAAAGCTCTTGGATCGGTCTGGGCTGCTTGGACTGCAATGTTTTCCTCAGTGCTTTCATTGATTTTTCCCATTTTTTCCCTCTTGGGGTCGTTGGGATGCTTGGACATGTGAGTGTGCAGCATGCTGGAAGGAAGGACGTGTCACCGGCGCCCATGATGTCTGGCGGCCCGGAACCTACCTGCTCAGGGGCTTCAGTGCACTCGCATTCATCAAGAGCACAAAATCACCGTCGACCTTGGACAAATGCTGACGATGCTCAGGTGTGGGCACGTATCGGTACATGGCTCCAGAAGTTGTTCGTTACGAGCAGTACACAGCCTCTAAGCGGCCAGTGTTGCCACGTGGTTGCTCCATTCTTTATTAGATTCAAGACGCATGCGTTCGGCCTGAAATCTCAGGACAGAATCGACATCTATGCTTTTGCCCTCATCATGTATTATATAGCTTCAGGAGGGGTGATGCTGTGATGCTGCTTGTTTCCCAGGCCTGGCTCACTGCATGCTGTCATTTTGCAGGCAGAATGCCATTTTTCGACTTCTGCGCCTTGGCAATCTCTAAGGGCCGAGCTTCATAAGGCGTTACTGTTTGGGAGAGCTGCTGCCTAGTTGCCAGTCTCTTCACATGAGGCGGCGACGATCCTGAGCAGGTGCTTCGAGCCAGGGTCCAAGCTGCGACAAGCTTCGACTATGGCGTCCCTGTGCCTGTGGAACTTGTGTATGGGTGTCTACTTTGCTCCGCATCACAAGGCCTACCTTAAGGGGCACGAGCCCAGACCATCCCTCAGCTCGTCATGCGGCACACCTGAGCCAAGCCCTCAGCCTGCCCTCAGCCCTTAGGCCGTTGATTACGGTGGCATGCGGTGGCCTTTAAAGCCTTTCCGAAACTGAGGCTGCGCAGCCTCATGCAGGATGACCCTTGGCTTGAAATTATTCTGCACGCAGTGTTGGGGCGTGGGGTCTTTCTCCTCAGCAAAAGGTACCCTAAACACCCAGCCAGTCACCGCGCATCTTTTTGCCAACAAAATTTAGAGCCCATTCCAGCAGCCAAGACAGCTGCCATTCTCTCTCTCACACAGACTACCTCGCTCGCACTCGCTCTCCCTCTCTGCCCCAACTTCTGTGAGACTTCTGTAAGACGCTTCAGTCTGCTTCGTCCAAGCCGGTTTCTTCTCCGTGGCTCGGCCAGTCCTCCCTTCTGAGCCGTCGGCGCTGACCGCGCTCCCCACACCTGCCACTCCGCCGACCTCTTGTAGGAGTTTTCTGTGAACAGACTCTCTCGAAGAAGATTAGTACTTTGTTGACAATCTACGAAATGACGACATATTGATACAAACTTTCATGTTTACGGGAGAGTGGGCGCCGGCAACAAGGAAAGCAGCATCCTCCCAATTCTGCCGCATTTGTCACAGATACATGGAATAATTGCCCAACTTGCTGGCCTTCTCCTGTTTGGAGATGAACATGTCTTGCAGCACTTGTGGCTTCGGCAAGTCGCGGGACACCTTGTGCCGGACTCCGTGTTGTACAGAGAACATCAGAGAACCGCACTTCCATGCTCTTCCACGAGCTGGGGGGAAAAGAGGCTTCTTGCCTTATGCAGAAGTTCCATTTGGGCTCCTAAATCTGTATTGGGCCAAACCTCGGTCCCCGTTGCCGGGGCTTGTGCTTCCATGATGAATCTGGGGTTCTCTGTTGCCGCGAATGACGTTTCAGATGCGACGTGCACCTCATGATACTAGCATGCTTATGTGCACATTCAACTCCCAGAGTAACGGCCTGGAACTTGCGGGAAGCTGAGGCATGGGCCGTGAAAGCGGAAGACAGGCGAGGCATGTTGGCAGTGTGCTTCCTGTTGCTTCTTCACTTCCAAAGCTTCCAGCTCAGCTCACGTGCTGTCAGGCCTTCGGCGCAAGATTGTGTCGAACGATTGGAAAAGCTTCCAGCGGAGAAGCCATCACGCATGCGCGGATCCTACACCTGATGTGTACTGTGGCAAGGCTGTGAGAGCGTAAGAAGCTGTCTGGCAAGGTTTGGCCTCTTTTGACGTGCGCACTCTCATCTCCTTCAACAACGCAGGCTCTTGAACTGTCCAGGGTCCAAAAGAACCATGGACAAGGTTGTGGCCAGTGATTTGATCAAAGGCTGACGAAGACAGCAAATTGATACAACGACTACTTACCTACTGTATGGCATGAGAAGAAGCCCGCAGAGTACCGCAGGGTACCTGAACCGTCAAGCATTTCCTTAATCTACCCAGCTCAATGTGGGTGATTCAGGAAGTTCACAATCTCTTGTTCCGCGTCGGTGATCAGTCACTGTGCTTGTCTGGGCCTCTGTGAAGGCAGAGGCCAGATCTGCAATAATCTGCAAGTGACACCAGTCCAATTTTTACAGTGCTGAACCCTCCCAGTCTGTCGCCATCTCAGCGCGAATCATTGGCGGCGGCATTTCGTGGCTGTATGGCTCGCTGATCAGCAAGTTTCATGCAGCTTGTAAACGTCATTCAGAAACCTGTGCGCTACAAGCAGCAAATCACTGCTGTCATTTTCCAGCCCATCCGTCGTTGGAGTTTGGGCAATGCGCAGTTCCGGTCAGCTCGAAGTGGTGGCTGTCTTGTACTTTATGCTTTCTTATAAAGTATAGAGAGAGATGTTATATGGGGGACTTCTTCATCAAGAGTTTGCGGGGTTGTGTAGAGTCTCTAGAGTCGATGGAGGCTATACTGTAGAGTCATTATAGAATCTATGATATCTGTAACGTTTATAGGAGTTAGTAGGACCAATAGAACCGAAGCACTCTGTAGAGTTTATAGAGTTTACAGAGTCAATCGAGTCTTTATAGTCTATAGTGTGTGTATGTAGAGTGTAGAGTCAGTGTAGAGCCTGTAGAGTACCAAGAGTCCATCGAGCCTACGTGATTTGTAGTGTAGGTAGACTCTCGCAAGCTGCGCTGGAGGTGCAGCTCTCGGGCGAGAGTCGTTTTTTCAGCCACCATCTGGTCTCTCCGGCTAGGTCAAGCATGGTCAAGCCCTTTGAAGGAGACTGCTGACCAAGGATCGTTCGAATCATTCGAAGCCGTCCATGGCAGTGCGGAGCTTTAGCTTGATAGGCTTTCGCTTGGGGACATGTGCTGTGAAATGCTGTTGGGCCAGATTGGAGCCCGTCCATGTTCAGGTAATTAGGTGTAGCTATGTTTAACTTAAGGATTGCGTCGCGATTGCGTGGTGCAGGTGGCTCAACAGCATGGTGTTTGCAGGGCGATCATGCCTGGAATCCTGTCCGTGACAGTGTGTTGGGCGTGATAGGTCCCTGCAGATGTTTGGCTTAATTCATTCCAGAAGTTTTTCTCGGCTTAGACGTTTCATGTATAGTTTGATCGAATGTCGTTTCCGCTTTCGCCAGGCACCGGCACAGGTAGACCCCGTTCAGTGAACTTCATCATAAGAAATTTCTGGACGCACAGCCTACCTGTGAAGATGTGTCTTGTAAATTCATTGCTTTCCGACATTCGCAATGTCATACTGCCCGTTGAACCCTTTCGAAAGCCTGCAGGGTTGAAGCTGGGGATGCTGGATTTGAAGGGTCATGGAACAGGCTCAGAAGCATCGCGCCCCTTCTGCTACCGGCTCAAAAGCTTAGATTAGATCCGTCTTCCCGCTGCTGCGCTGGAAGTATTGTAGCTGCACCGCAGCTGCACCGCCACGACCATGGCGATGCGCAAGGAGGGGACAGCCCATATCAGAGTTGCGGCATGCCTTCTGCTGCAGTTCAAGTCAAGAAACCCAAAGTCAGCAGTTTTCAGCAGCAGTTTTAGCATTTCCTTACCAAGATGTCGTGCCAGTGCTGCTGAGCTTGAATTTGGCTTCAGGTGCTCACTCTATCTGCACTTGGCTTCGCTGCTGGTTTGGATGCCCCTCGGACAAGGGTCGAAACGGGCCTTTCAGTCCTTGCCCTTGCACTGCACTACGGGGTCGTGGCAACCCTCCCTTTGCCTTCCCTCTGAGTGTGCTTCTAAGGAAAGTCAGGGCAGGCCTGGCATCTGAGCACTGCTCGTACGGACTTGTGTAGAACCTCACCATCAGCTGTTCCGTTTGCGGCCGTTCTCCCTCGTCTTTGTTCCTCAAAGTTCCTCTCTCTCCTCCTCATGCCTGGCCACCTGCAGCGTAGTCCTGTTGTAGACTTTGGAAGGCCAACCACGAAGGTCATCAATCTTCTGAAGGCAAGGTTCGGCTAAAGTGCAAGGAGTCTCAGAGGCCTAGCGGCGAGGCCTCACAGAGCAGCTTGCCAGCTGCCAGGACATGCAGGGCTCTCTCGAAGCAGAAGCAAAGGAGGACGAGGACACGTACGAGAAGATGCAGTGCTGGTGCAAAAGCAATGGCGACGAGAAGGCAAAGAGCATCGAGGAGGCGCAAGCCCGGATCAAGGCCGGAGAAAGTGCTTCCGGATGCTTCGTCTCACTGCAATCGTCGGCTTGCAGCTTGCAATCTCTCCCCACTGTCAGGGTCTGGAGGCACGCACCGAAGAGTTGGCAGCCACAAGCTCCCGCCTGACCTCCGAGATCGCCACCTCCGAGGAGCAAAAGCAATGAGGTTGACACAGATCTTGGTTGAAATATCTTGCCAATCTGGCCAGCGCAGCTTGTGAGAGGCCTGTAGTCTCATGATCCCGCCATAAGTCTTCAAGAGCCCGAAGGACGAGGTCGTCAAGAACGAAGGTGCCCTCGACACCGCTGTAACATTGCGCAAGCAGCAGCTTGCAGAGTTCCACGATGACGAGAAGGACATCACCTGGAGTCCTGGACGCACTTAATACAGATTGTTAAATGCCACGGGTCGTGCCACAGGACTTGACGCAGTCTGCCACATCAGTGGACAGAGCGCTGGATGCCATCGGCCCCGCTCCCAATGGTTCCATACTGTGCGTAGCTCGGAGAGCGTTCCGTAGAAATGAACTGTCGAGATATTGCAGCCTATTTTTTGTTACGTGGGAGCGCCCTGCAGACAGCAACATGCTTTGTAATGCTAACGTGCTGGGGGCTAGTTCATCATGATGGCGCACGAGCGATCACGATGTTTAGACTTTTCAGGCAGGGGTTGTCACAGCTGGGATGAGCTTTCTGGAGTGTTGGAGTATTGGCTCCACCCATCCCTGACCCTAACATACTGTTCTGAACGGTGCGCGTGATGGAAATTGCCGCTGGAGGACGTGTATGTCAGCTTCGCATGCGTCATCTCGGAGTAGCTTGACAGCCTTCCCCTGGCAGTATGTGGCACAGCCATTCAGATGATCCTCAGATCTTGTCAGAGCCATCCTGGCGGGGAAGCCCGCAAAAGGTGATCGTCATCTGACTTTCTCTCCAGCTGCTCTCCCGTTTGTATTTTGACCAAAAGGGGTTACACGTCGATGCGTGGTGACATCCACCATGAACGGGCGGTCACCTCATTTGCGACCAACTCATTTCCCAAGTCCTAAACCAAGATGTGTAGCTGTACATGAGGTATTTATGTAGTCACAAATAAGAAACAAGGTCGCCACAAACGAGAGCATGTCAGACATGAACCACACGGGCAGCGGTCAAGCAGATGCATGCCTTCTCACACTTCAGGGCTCAAGAGGAATGCATATGAATGCAGCGGCTGACACGTGTGGCTTGCGCTGCGCCGAACTGTTCTGCACGCAGCGCACTTATTGTGAGGCTCTGACAAGTCCTCCTTCTTGCAGATGCCCCAGGCACGGAGAGTTGGGGTTTGCTTGCCAACAAGACCATGAGTTCCGTAAGAAACTGTCCGCATGCCCCCTGCCTGCCCGTCGTAGACTAAGCGCTTGCATCTTATCAGTCGTCTGAGAATGGTCAGCCTCAAAAGTGCTCAGTTGTAGGAGTTCGATGTTGTCTGGTGTAGGCTGGTGCTTTTTCTTCCTTTTCTTAACGGTATTAATGCGAGATCAGCGGCAGCTGAATGACCAGGCACGCCTCATGAGCGCCCTGTCCCAGCTGCGGGCTGTTGTGTCCAAGCACGCCCGGCTTCTGACGAAGACGCAGCGCGAGAAGGTGCCTGACGCAACAGCATCCGTTGTTTTCTGGAAAGTGAGAGCTCCGGCACCGCAAGGTTGAGCATTTCTTCAAGAATCCATTGCAAGCAAGGCTCGGCGGTTTCGTGTTGATATATAATTAGGTCGTTTCGGTTGCTTAAGAACATGCTCATCTGCACCATCAGGTCCGCGTTCCTGCAGAAGGACGCTCCCGACACCACCGGAGGGGTGACTGGAGTTCTGTCTGGGCTCAAGGAGCCGCACGCTGCCAAGTAGATGTGGCAATGCGAAAAGACGTGTGGAAAGATTCGGAAAGATGTAAGCAAGGCTCGGTAAGCCAGGACAACTTCAAGAATGAGCTTTCTGATCTTCAGTCGCAAGAGGAGGAGAACAAGAAGGCAAACCCCAAGCTTCCCTTGCCGTGCGTTCTGCGACCCCATTCTTGGAGGCCCATGACGGACTGGTGAAGGCGAAGACAGAGGAGATCGAGGCCGGCAAGAAGCAGCTGGAGGCGAGCCGGCAGAAGAAGACGTCGCCCCTAGCTCCTGAGGTCTGCACCCAGACTAAGGCCTAAGGTCAAAAAGTCGAAGGAGGATAGCTTAGGCTAGCTCAGAAAATTATGCAGGAAACGAAGTCCTGAAAGGCGAAGAAGGAGCAGAAGGCGACTGCGGACCTGGAGCATGCCCAGGCCAAGCAGGACTCGTGGACCTTGGTTCGAGTATGAATTGTCATTGCTACGAGTAAGTTATTGAATTCTTACTGCAATTGCTCTATGATCCAGTCTACTCCCTTTTGCGTTCTGCTCCTTTCTCGACTCCCGCTAGGACATCAAAGACACGACGGCTGCCTTGGAGGCAGATGGCTCGGTGAGCACCGTTGTCAAGGCGGGGCGTGCAATCCTCTGAAACGGCGCTCTGCCCCGAGTGGGATCTCTGGCGAATACAAGCTCCGCTTGGAGGAGAAGTGTGCAGCCATGGACGCAGACTACGAGAAGCGAAGTGTCCTGGCATGTCCTGGCAGCACTGCCTAGTGACATCTGGTGTAGAGAAGAAGAAGAAGGAGCTCACAAAGCCTGAAAGATTCGAGGCAAGCTGCGGACCGAAGAGCAGACTGCAGTCGCCAAAGCAATCGAAGCGCTGAGCTCCGATGAGGCCACATCCGCTTGAGTGTCGAGATGTATGGAGTACTGGTGAGTACTGGGCATCCGGCATGTCTGTACTTAATGCGCTGGGAACATGTTTGGCCCAAGGCACACGACACGTTCGGCAAGACATTTTCATTTCTGCAGGCAGGTCTTCGGTGTAGTTCGTTCCTGAACACCGGCATCTCACGAGCCGTTCACGAGCCATGCACGAGCCAAGGTTCGAAGTGACAACGAGCGAGCCGCCAAGTTCCTGGCAGAGGTTGGCCAGAAGCAAAAAGATGACCCCGGCTTAACTTTTGGCCATGGCGACATTCGTGTGGCAACAAGCTGCTTTAAGTTGCTCCAAGGCTCGCTTGGCCACGTTGGCGCTTACGATGCACGCTGCCCCAGTGACAGGGGAGGTGAGGATGTCTCCGCTATCACATTGAAAACGGGTGCGGACAGAGTTGTTGAACCGCAGCAGCGCTAACGGCGCTAGCTTCCTTCAGACGGTGAGATGTGTCAGGCGCCCGTGCATGTAGAAGCATCCACGTGAGGAAGCTGGACACCTTCGAGAAGGTCAAAAAGGCGATCGAGGAAATGAAGGCTGACCTGAAGAAGGAGCAGGTCGCAGAACAGAAGAAGAAGGCTCGGACATGCTCCAGCTCGACAACGCCATGCGCGTGTTTTTTCGGGAAAGCACGTCTACTAGAATTTAGAGGACTGGTGCACATCGGAGTTTCAGAAGAAGAAGAAGCTGGAAACACAGGCCTTGCGACGCTCGCACCAAGCCTGGAATCAGTGCAGCTTCCTTTCTTCGGAGGAGAAGACCCAGGAAGAGCAGACCAAGATTGCTGAGATGGAGACCCTTCAGAGCTCGGTCTCGCAGCTGGTTGGAGACATTAAGTTCTTCACCCAGTCGTTGACAGTGAGGATCTTGCTTGCTCCGGGCACTGTATAGGGCACTGCCTACTGATTTTTGTCACACAGCTAGGCTGTTGGAGGATGAGGCCAGGAAGGGATTCCTTGGACAGATACGGCAGAACACATTGGTGATGTGTGAAGATGCCCTGCAGGTCGCTGAAATGAACAAGCAGGTTCAGGTTTCCGGCCAGAACCGTGAGAAGGAAAACAAGGAGCTGGGATGAACCTGGAGTCCTGCTCCGTCGAAGCTTTCGCGCGACACGCGCCTGGCGAAGAGTGGCGAGCTTCCTTTGCACAGGTCCAGGTGGAAGGTTTAAACTGGGTCAACTCCTTCTTGCACAGGAGTTCCAGAAGGTTGTGGCAGAACAGCGCAAGTCCCAAGTTCTCTTGAAGCAAGCGATGCTGTCTCTTAAGTCCGTGTATGCTAAGGAGGCGGGGGCACTTGGGGCATAGAACGACGCGCAGACGGTTGAAAGCTGAATGTCATGTCCCTGGGTCAGGCCGCCTTCGTTCAGGAGCATTCAAAGTCCAAATCCTCTGAGGAGCCGGAGTTCAAGGCCAGGCTGCTCATCGGAACGCAATGCTTGTGAATGCATGTCAATGTCGTGCTGTGTATGCCTGGCCAATGGAATGAAGGACTTTAAGCAGCAGTCTGGCAGCTACGGCGTTGCGAGCTCGTTTTCTGAGCAGCCTTGAGATGTGGGTCTGCCACTGTCTCAGTCACAGTTGATCCTTATCAGGTGCTGAGCATGCTGCAGCAGCTAATTGCGGACGCGAAGGCCATGGAAACCGAGGCGAGGCACGGAAAGCACCATGAGGCAATGTGAGGCAGCTACTGGCACAATCTTGCTCAGCCCACCAGGCAAGCCATGCTGAGAGCACAGCACAGGAGGACTATGAGGCACAAGGGGACACATTGCAGTGTACTGCGTATGTGTCGTGCTAGCGGGCGCTCATGCACATCATGGCGTGGGCAGCATAAACAGCTTTCTGGGTAGCTGCCAGAGAGTTGTGTCTGCGGCGTGCGCAGGCTTTCACCAAGGCAACCACAGCGCCTGGTCTGAAATCAGGGGCAGCAGAACAAGCGCGCATTCTTGGCAATTGCTGTGATTGCTGTGCTCGTCAGGCATCTGTCGAGGCGAAGACAAAGGACATCACTGACAAAGATGCCGAAAAGGGTGCGACCGAAGCTTCACTCGTGGAGGCCACAGGGTACATCCCCTGGGGATGGCGAATTCTGAGAATTCTGGGATGGATGGGATGCTGATTTGCCGCGTTTTGCTGCCTCTGCTCAGGCCCGGCAGTCCAAGGCAGGTCTCAGTGAGGAATTGGCCCAGCTTGCCATTGCGGTCACGGAGCTGCACGTCCCTCTCCGGCAGTTGCTTTCAGAATGACAACCCTCTGTGTGTGTGTGTGTGTGTGTGTGTGTTTCACTGTTAAATCTTGTATTCGGCTTTGTGAGTTTCGTGGCAATCACAACAGTCCCGTGCCTAGGAGTATCCGTTGTAGTTCAGCTGTTCTATCGTCGTTCAGGACCAGTGCGACTTCCTAATGAAGAACTTCGATGCTCGGTCACTGGTCATGACTGGTCAACAAAAGCCCTGCGACATTGTGTATTGCAGAAAGGGGAGCATGTCTTGTCGTGGGAGCAGAGGCTGTTTTTGCCCCCAGTGAGAGCCTGATGAGGCAGACTGCCCGAGAAGACGAGATGGATGCCTTGCAGCAGGCAAAGTCGATGCTGTCGGGTGCGAAGGTGCAGGTCTCGGCAAGTGCGAGCATCACAATCATGCACCAGCTCGGCAGTGATCTGGTGCCAAGGCTTGAGGAGGTGTTGATCCCCTCTTGCCGACAAAAAGCTATCTTGCATGAAACGGTGCAAAGACGTGTCCAGGGCTGTGCTTCACATGGCACTGATGCTTCTGTCTGCCTGTGGCTTGCCCAAGTAGACTCGAGTCTCGTTATCCCCAAGTCCGGCAGAAATGAGTGCACCGGCACCACAAGTTGGACCCAACGGGGCCGTCAGAATCGTCAAGAAGCAAACGACAGCACACTCAGCGCGCTTCCGGGCACAATGGCATGATTCAGGCAATGGAAGGCCGTCGGGACCCCATTGCACCTCCGCTGCTTCCAGAGACACGACGCAGTTTGTAAGGCCTTCCCAAGGGAGCTGCAGAGTCGCCAAGTCGACAGGCAGCCAAAGCCAGAGGCCTAAGCGGCTTGCCGTGGCTTGCCAGTTTTTGCTGACAACTCGTGCCACGTTATACGTAAGCCTTATTGACCCGCTGCTCCGGAACCGAGGAATCCCTTGTTGAACCAGCACCTTTGTACAGTGGCTGGTTGCTCAGAGGACTTGTCAAATCCATGCTCAAGAGTTCTTTTGGAGGCATCTCGGTGCTTCCCACCCTTGCGGCCCTTGCGTTGTCTGATAGGTTACACCATTGGCTCGAAGCTGCCATCGCCACTGCGCTGTTTGCGAAGGAGCGAGCGGTGTAGAATTTGCTCAGGCGCGCAGACTGTTGCTCGTGCCTTTTGGTCCGCTCTGTGCAGGTCCAGCAGCCTCAACTCCGCGCAACCCCAGCCTGCGCAGCCCACGCCGGCCCGAGGGCCTCTGAGGGTTAGAGATTGCCCTGGGCTTCGAGAGACCGACTGTGACTCTGTGACTCGTGAAGGACATCTGATATCTAACGTTGCACATCGTTGCACATCGTTTCACCATTCGTGCAATGCAGCCCTGGAGCTCAGCGAACCTGCGAGGTGTCTCCGTCGCACCTGTCGTCCCCAAGATTGAGGTCCAGGCGGGGGCCCGCGTGGTCCCGCGCAACACCCGCAAAGTGAGTGTTTGGCCTCATGATAGGCCAAGACCACCGTTGCCGTTGCCAAGAGCCGCCCGTCGACTGCTGCTCCCAAAGGAGGCCCGCCATCTCTGCACATCAGACGCTCCGACTTTGTGGGAAGTTGTGAGAGCCCGCCATCGAAGGAGGATCGCTCGCGGGCAGGCGTTGGCCTGCATCTTGTCAAGCCATGCGCTGTTTGCTTTGTGCTTTCACGTCAGGAGCTGTTGCTCAGATTCCCCAGCCGGAGGCCTTGAATGTGAGGCCTTCTCCATGTTCCGTGAACAATTGCCTACGTTTTCTTCCGAAATCTGCCTGAAGTCTGGCCCACTTAGAGTCACATGAATGTCTGTGGGAGGCCGCCGCAGCCCCTCCAACCAAGCCTCGAAAGACCGGACCATTCCTTCGCCTGGGCCTTTCGCTTCACAAGGGCAATCAAGGGCAATTTCTTAGTATCCTTATCCTGTCATACTTTGTTGACATGTCCTGTTTCCTCGACCTCCCGACCTTTTCCCAGGTTTCCAGCCTCTAGTCTCGAGTCATTCTGTGCCCACAGCATCCGGGCAGCTGCTCTAAAGCATGTATACATATATATATATATGTATATACTCAGCATGTTCGCCTAAACGCTGTGGCAGCGACCAGCATCATCTTTGCAGGTGACCTCTTGCAAACATGCGGACGGCGCGCATCGGTGCATTGCTCAAGCTGCCGCACGCCCCTGACCACTCAACCTGTTCCGGTCTGCAGCACGCATGTGCACTCAGCAAGCTGAACAGTTCTCTGCTAGTGGGATGCATCACCACGAAGTTGCTCACCTTGTCGCTCTTCACTTCTTCGCTCTTGGCCACGTATCGGCGAATCGTGTGAATGGCTGTGCCATGGCATCCAAAGAGAGCATGGAGATGCCTCCGCCGCCACAGAAGCGCCGCGTGGGACCGCAGGCCCCCCGTGTGATTTTCTTTGAGATGACTTCTTGGGGGCGTTTTCTGCGCATTCTGCGTTGGATTTGTTATTCACTTGCGGCTTCAAAGGATGACCTTCCGCATCCCCGCAGGCAAGATCAGCCATGTGATGCCACGTGACCTGATCTGAAATTTCCGTGTCAGCGAGGCAATGCTTCAAGAGGAAGTTTGAGTCAGACCTCGAGAGTCGCTTTCGCGACTTCCTGTTGAATGCCGTCCCTCAGGCAGAACTTGGGACTGGACGGGAGACGGGAGTGGCTCGAAGTGACGGGGAAAGCGAGGAGTGGCTCCGAAGGTACAGCCAGGTGCCTTGGGAACCTCATCCAGCAGGGTCGCCCTAGCCATCGGCCGTCGGGGACTCAGAAGCGCCACGCTGTTGATGTTGTGAAATTTTCGGGCCAAGGGATATCATGGATACCGAACCGCTTGTCCCTGAAACTGCATCCACCGAGAGGCCCTATAGGCCCTATTCTGAGCCCGCCATCATCCCATGCGAGTCACCACGTGTCACCCCGAATCAATCGCAAGGCTTCCTTTTGGAGCTTTGCCAGCTCCAAGGTTCTGTTGTCCAAAACGGCTCAACGTTTGCCTCCAGGTGTGGTCGGGAAAGAGACGCTGCAAGACATCATACTGCCAGTGGCATCGGAGGTGCTCCTCGAGGTGGGAGGTATAGCATCCGATACTGGAAGCATGCAATGTTGCGTCTCGGTCAACGAACCAAGCGAGTAAGCAGATGCCTTCTTTCTCGCTCAAGCGGTTCCTGAACGGTCACTGCAAGCCGCCGTTGTTCGGATGTTGTGCGTCGGTTATCCCTGATCTTCATCGGCGAACGGAACGGAGTTATCTGGAGCGTGGACAAGGTAAGTTGTAACGCGGAGCGTGTTCCAAGTCGGCGCCTTTCCACGCCTGCTGTGTTCGAAATGGATGCCTTTCTGGAAACCATGGTTTTCTCATGGCCAGCTTGTCGCACTGGAAAGTCGCCTTCTCGCACAGCATGACTTGCTCCTTGTCTGTCTTCTCATCATCATGGGTGTGTTGTCGGGGTTGTCTGGCTTGGATGTGGGCAGGGTCGATTGTCCACCTTCCTTGTGCTCGAAGAGTCCCACCGAAGCGCGAAATGTCGTCAGCACATCGGGCCTGTAGTGCTCCTGCAGTTTTCACGCCATGCTGGTTACACGTTGTCTGCGTGTCGTGCTAGCGGTTCGCCTTTTGCTTCAATGCCCATTGCTTGCTCTGCCGGAAAGCCTGTGGGCGCGTGGGTGGTGTGGCGGCGGCTGCGGGTGGGGGGAGGGGGAACTCAATCAGGGCGTATTTGGGCTGTACCTTTGCAGGCAAATCGGGTGGGGCTAATTCGGGGGAGGCTCTGTGTCGGCTTCTGGGTTCTAGGGATTAGTCCCCTCCCGGGGCTCAAGTTGTTCAGATGTTTGCTTTTCTGGGATGTGCTCTTGTTTCTTGCAAGGATGGACCTGGGCACAGCTTCCTGCCAGACCTTAGCGACACGCTGGTGCCAAGACTGCGTGCCTTCCTGGACAGCCGCGTGGCCGCCCACAAGGCGGTTGTACTTCTCACCTCGCACCTACGCACTTGTCCTGCGTGCGGGGCATTGTGTATTGCAGGCAAAGCCACTACAGGAACGGCGATGGGCAAGTGTCAGCTTGGAGCAGAGGCGCGCGGTGTATTGTGCACCTTGCAGGAGTCATGAGCCACGGCGCGCGCTACATCGCTCCGCCAGGAGTGCAGCCGCATGCAGCTGGCGAGCTTTGGCGACTGTCTACTGTCCAGGATGTAAATGGCACTATCAGTTGAGGTGGGGGACTGCACTGCTGAGACTGCGTTGTGGCATGATCTCCTATGCATCGAGGATCCGCGAGCCGCCGACAAAGGAAGGAGACCGCAAGACGCCGCATGACTCCGCATGTCATCACCCTGGCGACATTGGATGCGCTGCATCGTTGCAAACCTATGCTTTGTCAGGACCTGACAAAGATCGAAAGGAGTTCAACCTGGTTTTCCAAAAAGCGCAGACCTTAGCCTCCGCTAGCTCGCTTGCTACCCACAATCTCAGCCTCATTTCGCTGTCGGCGGTGGTCTCATAGGGCTAACCTTTCCCACTTGGCTCGCGAGCGTTCAGCATTCGAGCTTTCCTGCAGTCCTGCCGGCCTCTAAAAATAGGCATTCTCCGAATACTGTACGTCTTTGCCCCATACCAAATGGTGTTGCCATTCTTCTTTCATATGGGGGGCCCTCCTCAGGCTGAGGATGTCTGTGACATGATAATGATTCTTTTTTTTAGTGACTTTGTGGGGCCTCTTAATCGCTTCGCTCATCTGCTCTGAGGTGGCCGGCAGCCAAGATCCAGCGTGGACCGTGTCCATCGTGCAATGCGGCGAGACAATCTGGACGGAGCTTCGCATGAACGAGGCCAGCAGCTAGCAGCTGTGGCATGCGGATGAAAAGATTCGGGAAATACTTCGTGCAGGATCAAAGATACTTTACTGCGGTGAACCCTTTCCTCCGGTGGTCCGCCGGTCGTCCTCGGTCCCGTGGTCCCAGGGTTCTGTGGTCCCCTGGTCCTGTGGTTCCTGGGTCCTCTGCCCAACCCCAGCGCCTTTCGAAACCTTGCAAGCTTGCTTTAACATGCATCATGTCACGCGGTATATCGCGGTGACTTGCTTCAAAACCCTGTTTTTCCTTTCCAAGCCTGTCATTCCAGCATGGTAATCTTTCCCGAGCCTGTCAAGCGTTGTGTGTGTAAATACTAAGGGGGGGGGGGTTGCGACCCCTCCCAAATACCTGGCAAGCTCGCTTGAAAACATATCATGATATCGCGCCGACTTGTTTTAAATCCCTGTCTTATTCTTTTCCAAGTCCCTCATACCAGCATTGTACCAGCATTCCCCCCTGCCTCCCCGCCCAGCCCCCCCACCCCGGTGTTTGCAAGCCTTGCAAGGCAGCCTTAAATTACGATCTCAAATGATGTTCCTGATGCCGGAAAAGCAAAGCTTTTTGATCCATATATTTCTTCATCCCTACCCAGAGGCTGTGGCTAGCCAGTCCTCCATGTGCTGCCTGAAGGTTTTCCTTCACAACCATCGCGAACGCATGCTTGCGGCACAGCAGCACAACTTCAGATGCTTGGCTCTGTTTTTTTGGCATCTGGATTGCTGGAGACGGGAGGGCCAGAGCAACGACGACGTCGTAACAGTGAGCTGAGAAGTCAGGTCGCCTTTGCCGAGATTTCCGCAGAAATGCGCAAGCCCTTCAGAGGGTGTTGGAGGGCCTGGACCCTTGCATGTCAGGCCGACTCCCGTGGCCGTGCACCGTATGCACCGTGAAACGGATGTGTGCAATTTTCATGCGCGGTGCTGCCAGGTGATGGCGGGAAGAAGCTCTTCTATCCCGGCATCTTTGACATGGCTTCACAGGTTCAAGAATTCTACGTGAGACGGACGCGAGCGCAGACGGATGCTGCAGGCGCAGCCGGTTGAAAGCTTACGCCGATGGACATGTCACGGCATCCGACCATCGATGTGATGTTACTCGTCGTAGCCTTGAGAGTTCTTGAGACAGGTGTAGATCCAACTGCGAGAGTCAGACGCTTCAACAACTGCATCAAGACTCTCCTCCTGGAGAGCGGCTTGGCCAGAGGACAGCTGCATCAAGAAGCTAATCCCTGGCCCATTGGTGTGCGGACATGGTAGCTGTACCAGCACAGCCTTGAACCAAGGACGCTTCCATGGATAATGTTGAATTTTGGTGTTCCTACAACGGGTCAAAACAGAGCCGCCCTATTCGCTTGACTTGTTGTGTCGGTTGGATCAATTGAGGAAGACAGTTTCTTTGGTGCAATCTTAGGCGGAGCCTTTGAGAAGGTGAGTTTTGCACGCCTTCCCCCTGTGCCCACCAATGGTTTTCAGCTGGCAGCACGTTAGGGCCTGCTAGGGTGCTGAGGGTGCCATAGCCCGTGTGCCGTGTGCTTGATCCAGGCTGTTGTGGGGAGCTGGCTGGGTGATCATGTGCAATGTGCAATCATCTTCGCATGTCGTCTTTCCGAGCATCTCAAGGGCCGCAGGTCCCAAGGGCTGTTCAGCATTCCACACTGCCGAGTTGCCAGTTGTTGATAGGCAGTTCAGACACTACACGCCTCTCAGCCAAACCTCAGAAAGTCCAGGGACTCGGCTGCTACCTGCATGTGCTTCAACCTAGGCTTTATGGACGACATGGACGGGGACTTGAGCATTCTTGACCTGTGCTGTGGGAGGGGCCAGGACATGCAGAAGCGTCTTGATCGCAAGTTACTTTACGCAACAAATTGCTGCGTGTTCCAGCTGTGATGCGAGGTACTCACGGGAACATCGGGCCTGCACCGTTGGAAACGTGGTCTGCATAGACTTCGCGGAAGAAGCCGTGGAAGAAGCCAAGCGTCGGTATGGTCGCTTTGCCTGAGCATGTTGGCACAAAGTGTTGAGAGTCCGACTCGGGTAGAGACATTTTCTGGGCCGAGTTGTTGTCCAAACTGAGGCGACTTGGTGGCTAGAGGTCAGAAGGTCGGACGGCGAGAGTTCGCAGCGTCATTTTACGCTGGCGACTGTCGTAGCGCCGAAGTCTTCAATAAGCTCGCGCAGGATGGCTGCACAGAGCAGCTTGCCATCACATTGGTGGATTGTGCTAAGGAGCAGAGTTCCATTTAAAGATGTGCAATCTCAGTTTTTGCAGAGTTCTGCCGCCTCACCGGGGTTGTCATGGTGTTCAGTTCCTTAATGGGCCGGGGAGGTCGGAAGCTTTCCAGCGGCATTTCTTTCTGAGCAGCCACTGCAGAAGTACTGCAGTGCTGGTTTAGAGTTTCGCGTGTTCCTTTAAGCCTGGTACGGTCACGGCTCAACCAAGAGCAAGAGTTGAGCAGGATACCACAGCCCGCCTTTGCCAGAGGTTCTCGAACTTTCAAGTTCCCCACCCCACCCGCAAGCGATCTCCCGACACTGCCAATAATGTCCGCCCTCGGCAACAAGCTACGAAGGTTTGATGTCGTCGTGTGTCAGTTCGGCCTCCACTATCTCTTGGGAGCAGAGGAGGCCGATTGTCATTTGAAAGTTCCCTTGTTGCCACCGGATTGATTTGGAATTGCAGCTGAGCGAGGATGCCCGGCGCCTCCTGCAGCGGGTCTTCTCACTTCTTCGGCCGGGCGGCCGCTTCATTGCAACGGTGCGGATCGCAGCATCGGCAGCATCCACATATCACACAGAATCACACGGACGCACGCAGCAGCGCTGCAGTAACGCCGTATAGTGCATGGTGGGTACTCCGCAGAAGCATCCGTGCGGGGAAGCTTTGACAGGTGCCTTCGTGCGAGGTTCTGGCCGATCTCTACGAGCAAGCGACTCCGTTTACCGACAGTGCAAGGACTGGTGAAGTGGCGCATACGTGGCGCATACGGGGCGCCTGAGCACCTTCTTGAAAGTCCCTGGGTTGCTTCTAGGATCCACGAACGAGAACTGCAGCGGAGCTTGTTTCATGCTGCTCGGATCAAGTGTAGCAGCTTGCTGTGCTGAGCATCTCGTGACTGCGGGCGATGACTCAAGCCAGGTTCACTTTGGAGGAGAAGCGTGGGGACACTTGAACAGAGGGGCACAATTGACCCTGGATGAGGCTGCGAAGCGCGTAACGTGCTTAGCATGAGCTCCTGTGACCTTGAAAGTCGACAGGTCTTCCAAAGTTGTTGGGGCCTACCTTATCTCTTCGAGTTGCAGGGCGCTGTTTGTGCTGAGGACGAGACCGTTTTTTCGAGTGTAGACAGCCTAAGCACGTTCCGAAACTGTCCGAAAAAGCAGCAGACTTTAGTGACTCGGCCGCAGGAGTATCTGTTGCCTTGGGAAGCGTTCGAAACACTTGCCGAATCCATCGGGTTCAGGCCACAAAGACACATGCAGAGAGTATGCGAGCTTTGCTTTTTTGCAGTAGCTGAGTGGCAGTCTGCGTAGACTCAGGGCATGTGGTGATGTTGTCGTGCGCTTCGCAGTCTGATGGCGGACGCATCCTTTCCGGACCTCCTCCTGGCTTTGAAGGACAAGCCCGGAGCCTAGGAGAACGGCACGTGCCGATTGCACATCGGATTGATTCGGATTGCAGATCTCTGTGCAGAGCATTCTGTAGAGCATTCTAAGAGACTGAGAGGTCGAAGTTCTTCAACCGTGTCTTTTGCAGAGAGCCTCGGTGTGCAGACTGGCAGAGGCGACCTCCACACGAGTTTACCTCCTCAAGCCTGTCCGACATGTCCAACACTGTCCAACACTAATTTTTGCATCATTCGTATTGAATCCCAGGACAGAAACAACGCCAGCATGACCAGCGACGAAGAAGAAGTCTTCAAGCTGTGTCTGTGCTAAAGAAGCATATCCTTTGCACAACTTGTCAAGCTTCTTGTCATTCTCTCCATGCTGTAACGAGAGAAAGGATCTCGGGGTTTCCTCGAAGGTACAGCGGCTTTGTGCTGGAACGCCCGAAGAGTGAGGAGAAATATGCATGCAACACATTTTGCACCGATTGCAAGCGCTTCATTCTGCTTCGCTTGCCTCGCGGCACCTGTCAACATCCCAGGCTGAGCAGCGAAGCCTGTCAGGCTGTCAGCACGAAAGTGGGGATGGGGTGCTTCTCAGCCGAGAATGTTTGTCAACACGTACGTTCACACTGGCAGCACTGGCACAGGTTCTGAGAAGACATCGCAATGGCTGGGTCGATCCAGGCACGAGTTGTGCAGCTGCCGCATAAGTTTCTAACGGTGTTGCAAGGAAGCGCGCCAGACTTGATGCATAGATGCGAAGTTCCAAAGCGCCAGCGCACCACAAGAGCCTTCTGCCAGGACACCGACTCTTGCAGGACTGCGAGCGTTGTCTTGTTCCAGCCGACGAAAACTTGCTGGAGCCGAGCGAGGTCTTCCATCTAGCCTTCTTTGCCAGCAGCATCATAGACTCATAGACTCACATAAAGGCAAGCGCTCTTGCTCTTGAGCTCTTCAGGTCAAAAGTTGGAAGCTCGAGCCTTTGAGCACAATCTGCATCCGTTCGAGTGGTGGATGCTTCCGGCATTATTGAGTCCCACTTTTAGGATGCTCCCACTGTCCCAAGCAGCAGCATCCACACCATGCCACCAGTTACGTCCCGACCTTGGTGGAATTCGAGTAGACTTGTGTTTCTACTGCATGTGTTGAATCGGCTTGGGTGTGTGAAACTGTGAGTGTTTGTGCTGTGGCAGCCAGCGCGCCAGCTTATTGTGTAAGGGTGCTTCCGTTCCGTGTGACTCGGTAGGGCTTGATGTTTGTCGTTGGCCTTGATTTCTGCGCGCGGACTAGGCTGCCAAAGCATTTGGCGCAACCTCCGCCACTACCACCAATGGACCGCCGCTACCCAAGGGCTGTGTTTGCCACAAAAAATGGTAGCTTCTTGTGTGTTCGACAAGGAAGACGAGAGAAAAACGAGAGAGAGTGAGCGAGGGCTTTGGGGCTAAAAAAGACGGGGGAAAACCGAGGCCGGCAGCACGTCTCACGGGGGGGGGGTTTGATTACGGAAAGTTCGGGAGGGAAGGGGGAGGTCGGGGCGTACAGGGTTGTGGGGGGAAGGGGGAGGTTGACTTTGGAGAAGGAGCGACGCCCCTCATGCCCCGTAGAAGAAAAAGAAGAAGAAGAGGAGAGAAAGAGAGACAAATAGAGAATAACTCGAGTAGTTCTAGGGCTGACGGCCGAAAAAACCCATCAGACAGGCCATATCGGGGAATTCCAACCGGAAGGTTAGTTCGCGTTTTCTTGGGCTCTTTCAGCGAAGTTGAGGTCACCCCAAAAAAAGCCCCACAAACCCAATCAAGCAGTCTCACACAAATCAACAGTGTGCAGGGGTAATTTTAACGCTACGCGACCCGCCTCGGCCCGGCCCAGCGCATCCGCATGAGCATGGTGATTCCGCAGCGCCCAAGTTGCTGGGCTCCAAGCAATAAGGGTTGGGTTTAGGGTTTAGGGTTTAGGGTTCCGGGTTTATGGTTTATGGTTTGGGGTTTAGGGTTGAGGGTTAGTTTAGGATTGAGGGCTTAGGGCTCAAGGTTCACGCTTTGGGGTTTAGGGTTTTTTGGGTGTGGGGTTCAAGAATCGTAGGGTGGAGCCAGCCCATCAGGGGTAGGGGGGGTGGGGGGGGAAGGGGGGGGCACGGGGAGGGTGGGAGGGGGGGGTTTGTTGAAGGTTTGAGGGTTCGGCTCGTATAATGCATCCCAGGCCGTGCTCACAGCAGTTGAGCCTCACCAATGTTCTGTAGTGGTTTTGGAAAGGGGGGGTAGGAGGGTGGGGGGAGGGGAGGGGGAGTGGTGGGGGGGAGGGGGCTCGGGCCTCGGCGGATTAGGGGGAAAACAAGGTGTTGCTCCATGTGTGCTTTCTTTACCCTAGTGCCCCTAGCGTGCACGTTGCTGACCTGTCCCCGACCATACTGACCTAGGAGCAGTCGCCCGCCCAGCAGTGAATGGCACAGAGACAGGGGAATGCCCACGGCGAGGGGCAGCATTGCCAACGAACTTCCGGGCTCGAGCGCACTTCGGTGCAACCACTTTCAAAAAAACACAGAGAGAACATGAGGAAGGGGGAGAGGAAGAGGGGGAGAGAGCGGCGGGAGGGGGAGGGGCAGAGGGAGAGCGAGAGAGAGAGAGAGGAAAACAAAGACAGGAAGAACAAATGGAGAGAAAGAAAGAGAGCTGATCTCACCAGAACGCTGTGCCCAAGTGCGTCTTGGCACGACCCCCTCTCCCAAGGCCTACCCGCTAGAAGCGGGCAGTTCGAGGCCGGCAGTGCTGCAGATCTAGAACATACCAAGGCTGTGGTCAAAGCTGTGCAGGTCAGGTGCAGTGGTGGCAGGCTGGATTCTTGAGAAGCCTCTGAGCAAGCGACACGGGCCTGCGCAAGCATTGAATCTTGCATTGCCTGCAGCTACTTGGTGAGATATTGGCATCCGACGTCCGCTCATCGCAGCTGCTGGCTCACAGCTGGATATGCACTCTAAGCCTCTAAGCCCCACTGCGCCCCCACACGACACTCCCAAACAACAAGGACAATCTTTCTTGCTAGAGGGTGGAGTTGCGTAGCTGCCCGCAACATCTGTAAGGACACAAGCAAGAACCTGCTTTTTTTTGCGCGTGACAGGCGCGCAAAGCCCCCCCACCCACACACACACACACACGCAGCACAAACTCATCGACACACGCTCTCTTGCCCCAGACATACTTAGCCGGAGCAGTCGCTACCTCGTGTTCTTCTTGGCCAGCGTCCTAGTGGCAGTTGGAAGGAGCTGCCGTTCGTGTGGGTGATGTGACAAGGCCACGAAGCGCTGCATGGAAAACTTCAGAGATGCCACAGAGGAGGAGGTTGGACATTCTGGCAGAGCATTCGTTAGTCGGCGTTTAATTCATGCTAGGTTCTCTCTCCTGGTCCTCTCATTGACTCTCTCTTTCTCTTTCTTTCTAAGGCAGCCTTGGTGCCCAGCTGGGCATTTTCCTGCTGGCGGCGGGGCCTCAGAGCTTTGTGCAAGAATTGTCTTTTTCGAATAGCTGTTATCTTCCAGATGCTTGTTTCGACTTGTGGCGCAGGTCTATGCTTGCAGAAGGCCGCAAGGAGGTCTGAGCTTGGAAGAGCTCCACCAAACTTACCCAGCGCATTTCATGTGAGTCTTGGTCCGTTCAGGAAACCGCCAAGAACTATGCTCGCACCTTTGTTCGCCTGTACGAGGAAGACCGCAAGGTGACGCCTGAACTCGTCTGACTGCCAGCCCCGGGGGGTCACCATTCTGCCAGGCTCCGAGTGAGATGGCCTCGCAGGAGTACTTCGACTTCACGAAGGCTGGTGCCCAAGGCTGCCAAATCTTGATGAGGCTGCCGTGGTGACGGGAAGATCTGGCCATATGCTATGTCAGATATCCCTCTGGGCCAAGGCATCGCCAAAGAACAAAAGCGGGCTGCAGGCTCAGGGGCAACTCTGGACGAAGGCTTTCTCCTGTTTCAAGTGACAACCGTCAAGGAACGGCCAGCGTGCTGCTTCCGTCGCCGCTTTTCGCAAGTTCTACAACAGCATCGAGGCTGCGGCTTGGAAAGTTATCTCGAAGCACCGTCATGAGGCAGCCATGCGTTCATCATGCTGGTCCTCTTGTCCAGGGAGATGTGTCAAAGCTGGAGCAGCCTGACGATACAGCAAAGTTTTGTCAGGTGCCTTCGTAGCCAAAGCTGTTTTTTCCCTTTGCACTCTCTGCTACGAGCCCCCACCATCCTTGGAGGTCAGTGCTCCCGGCACCCTCAAAACAAGAGGAGGGCCAAGGAAAAAGGAAGAAGCAAAGGCCAGAAGCCGAGACAAGCCGATCTGCAAGATGAATTGAGAGTCGCCCGGTGCCGATATGGTGACCACGGTTGCCATGGTTACCCAACTGGGGGGGTGTACGAAAATAGGGGACCCCGAAGATACATCCCCTAAAATAGTAGGATTCCCTTATAAAAAGGGGCCCCGAATAAGGTATATACGCCTCAGATCGTCCCTTATGTAACAATTCTGGGGCTTGGAATGTCCGAGGAGAGCAGCGGCCGCGCCACAGAGGCTCGCAGAATGACAGGCCCCATGAGGCCGGAGCTAGCTTTCGAGAGACGCCCCAGGCTGAGAATGGAAAGCTTCGTCCTTAATTGTGCTTCAGCTTGCTGGAGCTTGTAGACTTTTATGTATTGTAATGGAAATGCCTTGAAGTGAAGTGGCCGAGGACAATCAGAAAACGCAAGCCCCGCGAAGATCAAAATGATGAGGACTCTGCTTGGGTGTTTCTGAGATACAGATCTTCAGCCCGCTTGTCTGAGCTCCTCATCTCGACTGCAGATCACAGGACGTAGGGGGTCCGGCCGCAACCTCAGTACCATGAGCCGCTACATGCAGCTCGTGGGCAAGAAATCAAGGAAATATGGTTGCCAAGGCTGAAGATAGCAGGCTTGCTTCCCAGATTTGCTTTTGCATTCCACTTGTTTTTGCGCTTGATTCCGCTTTTGTCTGAAGACTCAACTATGGAATGGGTGCACGCATGGTGCACGCGTGTGCGCACTGCACACAGAGTCACTTAGATAAGTCGCCTGGACCAACAGCTCCACTGCCAGCACCAGGCCCTCAAAGCGTCATCGCGATGGGGCAGAGGCAGCTTGCCCCGTGATTCCTCTGCGGTACGGTCTGCTCCGCTTCCTTGGAATGAACATGAATTGAGAACATATGAAATTCATGGGACTTTTCTTCCTTGAGGCTGCGTTCAATGATGATAAGGCAGAGGAGGCATCGAGAGACCAGCATTTTTCGATGGGATTCTCTTATCTTGCTCGGAGGCTCCTTCTGAGCCCGTGGTGGAGAGGCTGGAGAGTCCTACAACTCCATGTCAACTATGTTGCACGGTCTTTGTCAAAGCAAGGAAGACGGTCAAGATCGACAAAGTCTTTCACCTGCGTGGCCCTACGCATCCTCCGCTTGAGTGCTTCCTTGTAAAGTACTCCATGTGTGGTTTATTGCTGTGTAAGAAAGGTTGGCAGATGCTGCGGCGGGCGGTCCGACAGAGAGGTCTCCTCTGCTGATCGGTGTGGAAGCTCGTGTGGGACACAGTGCCGTCCGAGGTCGCGTAGCCGTCCCCGGGCCGTCTTCGTCCACGGCCGCGATCCCTCGAAGAGGATGTCGGCGCCCTTTCAGGGCACTTCACGCCAAAATCTGCCCGACGTTTCTGTAGAACCGCCTATAAGGACCCAGCGGATACACGGCCTGTACGCGGAGCTGGACGGTGAGAAGAAAGATGGGCGCCCCATCTTCGAAAAGGCTGACCATGAAAAGATGCTCGCCAGATAATAATTGCCTGATTCCGGAATCCACAGTCGAGAGGAAGGAAGCCGCCTACCGCCTTCACGTACACGTGATCATGTCATGATGGATTTTGGGCCAACAACATGAGCCTGGTAACAGGCTGGGCGGCCAGTTTGCCAAAACTTTCAAGTGACATGACCGCGATAGAAGGCATTTTCTCGCATACGTACGGTACGGTTGCGCCCTGACGAGCCAGTTTGCTCTGTATGGCACTATCATGGCAAGGGAACTGCGATGCAAGAGGTGACGCCAGTGTTGTGGGATACTTGTGGCAAGGCTTGGCAGTGCTCGAAGACATGTTCTTGTACAGTCCTAGGTCACGTATGGAGGCGGGGATGAAAAAAACAGGTACCTTTGAGAGAGCATACTTTATTCGCATCGAGATGCATCTTTCTCAGAAGACACAGGGTCTCCAACGTGGACTATTGGTCATCTTTGGTAAGAAGGTTCGGTTCGCTGCTACAGCATCGGTTCTGTTCTGAAGGCGAGACACAGAACTGGTTCAACAGTCGTTTCCCACAAGAAAGCTGCAAAGCACGACATTCCAGCACTGTAGCTCGGACACGCCATTGGATGAATGCTCCCTCTTGCTGAAGAGCTGTTGCAGTGTATTGCAGAAATATCAAGTAACATTAGCAGTCATCGTCGTGGAACTGCTTTCGATTCGAGTGCTCGGGCATTGGAGGGTTGTGTGATGTATGCTGCTGGATGCACAGAGTCCTTCTAGTGGCCTGGGTTTGCGAAGGCAAAGCCACGTGCCAGTTTGTGCCATGGTTGCACGCCGCCGCTTATGTCTTGCCTTGACAACTTGAGGAAGACGTACATCTCCTTTTTCGAGAACAAGAACACTTGGCGCATATCCGCCTCGGTGACTTCGCAGGGGGACTTTGCAAAGGTCAAGGACCGAAGCACCGAAGAGGCAGTATTCGCACGTCTCACGACAGCCCTCGAAGTATGCTACGTCAAGTTTCTTGGAGTTCGCAGGAGCCTGCAGAGTTTCCTTGGCTGGTTACCAGACCTTGGAAGGTCTTCAACGACGAAAGAACCTACGAGGAGGACTTGCATGTGCATGCAATGGCCGGTCCTTTCGTTGCAAGCGCATGCTGCTCAAACAACCTTGCTGCTAACTCGAATGCCTTACTGTGGGTTGCTGGACTGCCAAAATCCCAGAACGTGGTCGGCACATGATCCAGATTCAATGCGTGTTACTCTCTCCATGCACGCTACTCTCAGTGGAGGCAAGTTGAGCACGGCATGTTTAACCACATGTAGGACCACATCGCACGTAGGACCCCATGTAGGGCAATTGAGCCCATGGCACATGCGGCGCAGGCGGCGAAGGATGCTGAACGGCAGTTCCGTGTTGTCCACAAGCGGATAGCAGTTCGAGCTCAACCGTCCACAGCCGCAGAAATCGTGGGTGTTGAGGTTCTGGGAGCATTGGTGTCAGGGAAGCTGGTGCAGGTGAAAGGGGAGCAATGGGTGCAAAGAAAGCTGCAAAACAAGGAGGCTTGGATGCTCGTGGATGGCACCGGATTAGGCTTGGGAAGGCTCCTTGAACCAGTTGCAACCACGGTTCCTGTGAAAAGCCATGAGAGCAAGGACAAGGAGAAGAAGGAGGCCACAAGTGCCACGAGCGCCACGAGTGCCACAAGCCACAGTCACAACGTTTCGATCGGATTGATCGGAGAGAGACTCTGGCATTCACCACTACGCGAACTTCCCAGGCCTGAGTGGGCACCTCGTCACGGATACTTCGCATTGTCAGGTGGTCTATCGGCGACTGGTTGGCGCAACATCTGGGTGTTTGGAGGGATCGTTCCTGGCTTGGGCTATTCTGATGACGTGTGGCGCACTGTGAACGGTGGTGCCAGCTGGGAGCTAGTCGTTGCTGGGATTCACTGGAGCGGGAGATCAGATTTCGGCTGCTGTGGTGGCTCTACTGCGCCTGAGCCACGCCCAAAAGGCGTGATCTACATCGTTGGAGGGCAGGGGGGCCCCGGACTGCTGCCCGATGTCTGGGCCTCAGACACTGCTGGTAGAAAGTGGTCCCGCATGTGCGCTCAGGCTCCTTTCGGCTCGCGTACCGGAGTTGCCTGTGCCACGGTGCCCTCGCGGCCACTAGTACTGCTCGTGGCTGGCGGAGTCTCCGACGATGTCCATCGTGATTTATGGGTCAGTCAGGATGGGGGTGTCACATTTGATTGCCTGAACCTTACAATGCCCGTTGGTCCCACGTTACTGAAATGGCCTCCACAGCTTCTCTGTGCGGCCCGAGCACAAAGCGGCCGACTGGGGCTCTGGTGCCTCCGATTGCGGGGGCTCAATGACCATGATGACCATGAGACCTCGAGCTCCGAATCGAGCCTTGATGCAGAGCTAGAGCCCTTAGATGAGTTTTCCCAGAGCTTTGATTGCGAGTGTAGTCCAGACTTTCCGAAACCGCCTCGAGTTGGGCTGGACTTGGAGGCGTCCACCGTCATCAACCTTTCTAGGCATGGCCTGCAAAGCCAATGCCTGCCAGGCCCTGGAATGTCGGTCCCAGGGGACTGCGCCCCATGTCCTCTGGAGAACAGTCCCTGCATCGCGCCTCCGGAGTCCTTTGTCGTTTGCGACATGGATGCTGCGCATACGAGAGGTCATGGTAAAGTCCATGTCTTGACAGAGGATCGCTGCTTCACAAATGATCGCCACCAGTACAAGCTGCAAGATCGCTTCCTAAAGCTTCTTGGCCTGCGCCTGGCGACGAAGGGCATTCCCCTGGACCTGTGGTTGGGTCGCGTGAGGCCTTTCCTCTTGCCACGCCCGCGCCGCATTGCCGGATTCCCGCGCCCAGTGGGCGAAGGTCCGAGGATGTCCGAGGGTCTGAGAACTGAGATGCGATGAGTTATGGTCCCTCCATGGCAGTTTTCTGCAGCGACAGCTGGGCACCTGTACAGCTTCAGCCCTGCACCGCGGCTTTGAGCAGATTTGAGCAGTTCGCTCGAAAAGGCTTGTCTTACGGCCTGCGATCGCGTCAGCCCAACAAGAGTTCTGTGAGGATCCTGATCTACTCTGCACCTTCCTCGATCCCCAGAAGCCGCTTCCGGATGAGGAAGTCGAGGCTACAACGGCCACGCACTCCGGGTTGTTCGGCGTTCTGCGAGTCTTCTCTTCGCGATTTGCGTGCAGGTGTGCCTGCCTATGTGGCCTCCACCACCAGGCAACGTGAACAGCTGTCATTGTTGTGAAGATGTTTCATGCTGCAATGTGGCATGTTGCGCAGTCAGGCTAAGCAACGCAGCTGACCTTCGGTAATTAGTCACGTCGTCGTTTAGCGCACGCTGAATCAGGTGTCTTAATTGAGCAGTTCTGTTGTGGCGCATGCGGCAATCATGGTGTTCTCGGAGAGAGCCTTCCCAAGCTCTTTCAGCCGCTTCTGGCACCGCTCCAAGTCAGCAGCATGAGCTAGGGCTAGGGACAGGCCCGCGACTTGACAGCCACTCCAGATTCCCTGCGTAGTCGATCACTCCACCCAAGCCAACCAACACATTTGTCACGGTGACGCCTCATCTTGTCTCATGGGCAACATGGCGTTATTGCAGGAAGTGCCTTCTCGGTCACCACACGTCACCATGTCGCACCTGTCTTTGGTACGCACCGCTGGGATAAACAGGCCTGTCAATCTGGGTTTTTTTTTGCTCCTCTCGGCCTCTGTATGTGTATGTGTTGAGCGATGCAAGTCACGAAAGCTCCCCCTGGAGAGCTTTCGTTTAATACCCTGTCAGGGCTGGGGCGGAGCCATGGGGGGGTGTGGGGGGGGGGCTGGTCAAAAAACCCTGACATTTTCGCGGCGTCCCCGGGCGAATTTGGGGCCCAGGGCGGTTGCCCAAAACGGTTTTTTGGAGCATTTTTCGGGTCCTCGGCGTGGACTCGTTTTTATGCCTCTCCGAGGAGAAGCGGGACCGGGCTGATGCTGCTGATGCTCGCGGGGCGGCGTGCTTTGGCGGGTCGCTGCAGGACTAAATCTGCTCGTCCTAGACGCCCCGCGGAGTCTTGGCAATGACCCCTCCCGAACCTCCCCTCCACGGAACCCTCCCCAACCTCTCAGCATCTGCACGGGAATCCGCTGTTTATTCCTGTGGATGTATGGCAGCTGTTTTTGTGAGAAGTTTGGAGGCGACGCACAGCACATGCTTTTTGGGGAAGTTGCCTCCACACTGCTAGGCGCACCCTAAACCCTAAACTAAACCCTAAACCCTAAACCCTAAAGCCTAAACCCTAAACCCTAAACCCTAAACCCTAGACCCTAAACCCTAAACCCTAAACCCTAAAGCCTAAACCCTAAACCTTAACCCTAAACCCTAAATCCTAGACCCTAAAGCCTAAACCCTAAAGCCTAAACCCTAAACCTGAAACCCTAAACCCTAAACCCTCAACCCTAAACCCGAAACCCTAAACAGGAGGCGTTTTGTCAAGAACAGACCAGCGGACAAATTCGGGCGGGCACGAAAACAACCAGATGGCCAGCGCGAGCACTGAGACTGCCCAGCATCGACGTCGAAGAACGCGGCAAAGCCGCAGAACCAACATGCCAAAAAAAAAAAGGCGCAGCAGGGTCTGCACGACAGTCGCCAATAACTGCGGTCACTCTCGAAGCACCTCTTCAGTTGGTCTGGGTCCTCCTCCCTGTTTGACCCTGTAGCCCAGATAAACGAAGCGAGTTGAGTTTTCTCCTGTTCGCCGCTTGCAGGGGTCCCCACCCTCATAGCTACAATCTGACACACCGCTTCAACACCCGTGTGTGTCGTCGGTCTGACCTCCGAGCTTTTGGCCGTGTCTGTCTATACACGGTAGGTACACTTGTGTAACTTCCTGTAACTTTGTGTTAATTTTGTGCATGGTGGCTCACTTGAAGCACCGCTTCGCTTTAACCTTTGACTTTGCCACATGAATTGGGTCGGCGCTTTGATCTCTCGGCGCCTGTCTCTTCCTGCTAGCTCCGTGTCCCCAGTCCTGGACCTACTAGAGCTTTCGTCCCAGCCCGTGGCTCTCGAGTTGCCTACTCTGCACCCACTAACAGCCACTGGTAGAATGCCAAGAATCAACGGGAAATTTGCACTGAAGATTCACACAACTATTCCCTGAGTTCCCTGACCGCAAGACTTCGGCGGATGGTTGCCGCGTACTGGCGCGTATTGGTACGACCACGAATGAATAGGACCAATAGGACCAGTAGCACCTAAAGACACAAGATCTACAAGATCCTGAAAAGATATCTGGACATGGTCAGCCTCCCTCCCTTGTGGGTCCTCAAAGCCGGCTGCTCCGTTGCCCTGTGCCTGCCCCCCCCCCCCCCCGCCGCTCCCCAGTTCTATTCTCCGATCTCACACTCCAGAGAGACACTCTCCAGACACAGGACACACACACAGAGCACAAAAAGCCTTGCCTATACGTGCCTTGCAAAAGCCCGCCTAAGCCTTGGGGGGACCAATAAACGAAAACGGCGTATAAACAGTGCCAGCGGCCTGAGGCTGAGGTGCAAAGTAAAGGCCACCTTGTCCAGCAGCCATCAGGGCACGTCGCACAGAGGACCTGCATGGGATAAGGCTGCCGACGAGCGGCATGGCTGAGTATCATGCTTACAGTCCTGGCTTCGTGAAATCAATGAACACAACTCGGGATGTCCGGGCCGGGTTTCTGGCTGAGAGACTCAATGTGGAAGGATGTGGAAGGTGTGGGGCGCTGCGAAGCAGATCACATCTGCTGTGTGAGCAGTCAGTCGCTCCTCTCATCACCCCGCCACTTGAGATGGAGTTTGGTTTGTGTGTGCAGTGTGGGCTTGGTACATGGTTCCACTTCCAGGTGCAGAGAGTAGCTCCGAACGTTGCGAAACATAATGCTGCTATGACAAACACAGCTTCGGAGCCTTCGCGTTTGGAAATGCTTGGTGTTCGCGTCGGCCTACATTGACCTTCGTCATAGACTGATCTTGGGAAGGCCAGTTGGGCACATCATCCTCCTCCTCCTCCAAGAGGCTTCCTTTCAGAAAAGGTCAGAATGCTGTGTGCCCGCCAGCAAAGAGCTGCTAAACAAGGCCCAGAACGGCGCCAGAAAGTCAGTCATCCTCCGCTGCGGGTGGCCCTCCTGGCGCTGAAAACTCGCATAGCTCTCGCCTGCCTGGGTCAGTGGCAAGATGTCGCAAGTCACCTGCATCACGCTGACTGAGCAGGTGGTGCTAAGCCAAATGGGCGCGTTCTGAAGATTCTCGGCATGGCGCTCACTTCCACAAGTCACAAGCAGCTGATGCTCAGCTGTCCCTGCATGTCAGTATCATCGTTTGTCTCGAGAAGCGAAGGCCTGGACAACTCCATCAAGACTGCCAGTCGTGTCATGGGTGTCTATGTCGAGCAGGCTGACGCAGTGACGCAGTGACGCAGCTCGGCACATCTTGCGAAGTTTGGATGTAGAGACACAGCTACAGGCCGCGAAGCGTTGCGAGCAGCCAGTCTTCAAAAAGACGGACGAGGCCTCTCTTGGGCCCTTTCGAGGAAATGCCACTGTGGGCGCCATTCGTGGGCGAAAAGACTAGTGTCCAACAGGCGAAGCCCAGCTTCTTGTACTTCGATGCGCAGAAGGACCCCACACTGGGATTTGACGGAGGGCCAGTGGCAAACCCACCAGAACACCAAGCACTGCTCGGGAGCAGATGCCCCAAGAAGTGAGCGTGAAAGAGTGAGCAAAGAGAGTGAGCGACCAGTGTCGAAGAACGACAAGAAAAGAGGGTGTGAACATTGGCAAGACTTTTGAGGAGAGATGGCGCATCGCCAAATCCATGGAAGAGAAAGGTGACGGCGTGCGATTGGGCGTGTGCGGGATTGTCCTTGAAAGCCTGCCAGGTGATTATGCCCACATCAAGGCCGATCGGACTCTGGGGGCACATGACAGGTTCATCATGACTCATCACGGTGCAGGACAAGGGCCAGTTGCCCTGGCAGCTGAAGAAGCCTTGGAAGGCCTGGTTGCCTTTTCTTTTCCCGGTTAGAAGCTGAGCAGCGGCAACAGTTGACGCGGTTCTCTAGATTCGTACAACGCCCTCGAATCCGAGCTCATGTCCAAGACGGCTTCCGCTGTTGCAAGACTCGAAGAAGACGTGTAGGTCTACAACGGCGACAAGTACGAGGAAGTGCAGTTCTCAGATCATGCAGCAAAATAGGAAGAAGTCAGACGACGAAGACTGTTGGAATTGCAGTGAATGTATTCCTACACAAGTTTGAGTGGATGCTGTGTCCTTAGTTGTGTTCGTTGTTTTCGTGGGTCGTCGTGTTGGGGGTCTAAAGAAGTCGCTCAGAGGTCTCTGCGCTCCAAGTGCAGGAGGCAGACCCATCGGTTCAAGAGGCCTGTTGCAGTCAGCTGTCGGTTATCGCTGTTCAGCTTTTGTCGGTGAACGTCTTGGTAGTCTTTTTCTTGCAGAGGAAGCCAAAGCCAATAAGGGCCGGGCCAAAACAACAGAGAAGCGTGGCAAAGTCAAGGAGAGTAGCACGGCCACGGGAAATGGATCAAAGAGGACTCGTGACAGGCTGGACATGTTGATCCCCTGGATGAGATGAAAATGAATCGCATCTTGTGTCGCGATGTGCATGTGACTGTACAGGAAGTGGCTTGGCCAGCAGATGAGCGCTGATGAGCTGCCACTCGAAGCCCTGAAGGAGCTGCCCAAGGACCCCTTGTGTGAATGGATGCGCGCAGTATCTGCTATAGTAGTCAGCATGGATGCTGGTAGGTTTCTGCATCCTGAGGATGCCCCAAATGGACACGATGCGTGGAAAGTTGTGAAGTGGGAGCCGTCCAACAATCGGGTGCGGGGAGTGACCTGCAGAGCTTTCGCATACTTAGCCTTGGCCCATAGCACAGCACCCGGACGCGATGGCTCCGTGTCAGGCGCTCTTTCAGTTCAAGGGTGTTCGCATTCAGACCACTCAATTCGGTGCCTTGTTTCAATAATCCAGTGGTATTGAAAGAAGGAGTAAGCATAGTTCTTTTCGTCCCGTCCAAGGGGGAGCTATTGAAGAACCGTTGGGCTCTGGGGATGCTTGAGGATGTCTTGGGCCTCGGGCTTTTGGGTTTCGGTCGGTGCTTTGGGCTCAGACCTTTCTTGGCAGCCTGGACGGACAGGACAGCCCACGCTACAGTGGTCCGGTTTCAGGGTATGGCAAAGTCAGTGAGGTCTCATGGGCTCGACAGGAACTGAGGCGAGCTAAACGTGAGTGAGAGGTATTACGTGCCGCGCAAAGCAGAACGGCTCATCTGAGGCTGTGGGTCAAAGCATGCGGCAGAAGTCGTCGCCAGGGCCTGCTACGTCATGCTGGCTGACGGAAAAGGGAAAGATGAGGCCACCAAGTTTCAGCACGCAGTATGAGCTTGGCTCGTCACAGCTTGCAGGTCATGAACTTTCGGGATGGTTGGTACCGAAGGCCCGTTATGATTTCCTAAGATGTTACATGCAATGAGCAAGAATCATCGAAAAGATTCATCCGATAGTGCTAGGCGAGGCAAGCAGCAATGAGCAAGCGCAAGGGTACGTTGCCCTCAAGATGGGTAGACAGGAAACGGTTCGGTGTCTCCTGGTGGCGTAGCCTACATACCTTTCTGTAACTTGAATCCGCGCACGTGCGGGTTGTGCGCATCTTGCGAGCTGCTACAATCTGCACAAAGCTCGCTTCAGACCAATTCAAGGCCCAGCGGTTTAATCTGTGCTCGTCGCGCTTTCCTTGCCCCAGGATTAGATCTTTCAAGGCAGGGGAGGCGCGCACCAGATCCTGAACAGCTGAGCTCTGCAACGCGTGTGGTCAGTTCTAAACGCGCATTCAGTGGAGGCGGCGACCGCGAACGGACAGGGAAGCAGCAGTGACATCTCACCGAACGAGCGGAAGAATCACACTGCTCCAGATGAGGCTGGTGTTAGGAGCCGTATCTTAAGAGCAATATGAGCAATAAGAGCACTGAAAATGGTGCGCAGCCTGAGGGCAAAGAGCAAGCAAGCTCACCTTCGCCAGACGAAATACGTCAGCCCGGCCATGTTAATAGACAGCACGTCGTCCGGTCAGCCGAATGCTTGATCATTCCTGTCTCGATCCTCGCAGTTTCTCAAACTTTTTATGAACTCTGTGTGTGCGTGTGGGTGCTTCAAGGCGAGTCAAGCTCCAGCAGTGGATCTGAAGATTCAGACAGTGCTGGCAAAGGTTCCGACACTGAGTCCCAAGAGGAGCTGTTCTTCACTTCATGAGTCTTCATGAGAATGCATGTGACACGTTGCCAGTTGCATAAAGTCAGGACGCCGTGGATGCAGGTTCGGCAATGCTTGCTCGACTTTGTGCCATATTAGCAATGTCTCTACCAGTTCTGCCTTTCCCCGCTCTCTACCTGAGGAGGACAAAAGGGCTTTGGCTTTCTTGATCCGCGCAATCCGCCTGGTGCGCTGGGCAGGTCGAGCCCTTCCATGGTCCTTCCACTGATCTTGTTGAAGATGAATTTACGAATTTACGAATTTACTCAACGTGCGCACCGCAGCTGTTTGCAGGGTGTGTGCGAAGATGGCGGTGTGCAGCTCAGCATGGCCCAGTCTGGCTAAGCGGCAACGCACGCGTTTGGGGTCTGAGTCTCATTTGCCAACATGAAACCCAGGTCCGAACAGGCATTCGCTGCTTCAAGTGCTACTTCGAGAGACATAAATGTCAATGTAAGAGCACCTGATCCATGTCATGCTGAGAGTGCGTTACAGTACTTAGTGCTAGCAAACCTTTCGGAATACTCTCTTGGCATGCGCATGTGCATCAGGTTTGCCTTATACATAGATTTCAAGGGTAGTTAGGGCTGAGCATCAAGCCTTTGCTAATTGAAAGCACTGCGCACCTACATCTTGATGCTCAGATCATCTCAGATCGGCCAACAAGGCGAGGTCAGCTGCCGTTTGCCACCGAAACTTCTGCCTTCATCATGCTGGTCGAGTCGCACTGGTCCAGCCAACCAGATGCAATACGAACTTGCCACCGCAATCATCGTCAGTAATAAGCTGCACTCGTTGGCAAGACGGCGTTAGCGTTGATGAGAACGGCAATCGATTTAGCCTGGAAGCGGTACATATGCCGGTACTGCAGCTCGCATGTCCTCGTTTGTGGCATCGAGTTTAGCATTGATGCCGCTGGCAAAGCCTGCCCAGCGCGCGAATCGGTGCAGACTGGGTGAACGGCCCTGGCTTCCAGGATGAGGTAGGAGGGGACAGGCGCAGCTGCTCTGCTGCTTATCCTGGCTCCCCAAGATGCAGAGCCAGCACAGAATTGCCGAACCTAATCTTTCGGCATGTTTGATGCCTACGCATGCCCTGAGCTAGTAAACGTCTGCAGTGCAGCACGCCTGCCCCAGACATGGTGCGTGGAGACCATGAACTTGCGGTGAGAATTGCTGCAGCTGCCAGCCAAAATGCTGCGTGGACTTGCGTGAACTTGCGTGAGCTTGCATGGACTTGCGCGGGCAGCCTGGATATGTTGTGTTCAGATGGAGAAGCCTTGAATAAGCAATTGAGGGAACAGCTATGAACCAGTGGATAGCTAAGCAGGAATCAGGAATAAGTCGGAATATGGACAAATACAAATAAGATGCAGGGCGCAGTGTTCCACAAAGTGAGAGGATACCCAACTGCAGGCAAAAGCGCGTCTCTTCCGAGCCGCCTCTGACGGAGAATCGGGATCAGAGCACAGCCCTCGAGGCGGCTTCTTCTGGCGGTTTGGCCCCTCTGTTGGTTCCGTCTGCGAAGCACTTGCCTCAAGATGCCAGGATCTGGCGGACCTCAGAGGTGACAGTCAAGACAAAGGGCGTGGACTCGAAGGTCACAGATCTACCAAGGCGGGATCCCTCAGCACATCTCGGCATTTTCTGTAGGCACGGCGCGCGCGCGCGCGCGAGCGCGAGAAGCGTGCGCTCTATGTGTGTATATGTGTGTGTGTCCCTGTGTGTGTGTGTGTCTCTGTGTGTCTCGGCAACCGGTGTGTCAGGCTGTGTCAGGCTGTGTCAGGCTGTGTCAGGCTGTGTCAGGCTGTGTCAGGCTGTGTCACGCTGTGTCACGCTGTGTCACGCTGTGTCACGCTGTGTCACGCTGTGTCGCGCTGTGTCGCGCTCGCGCTGTGTCGCGATGTGTGTGTGTGTGTGTGTGTGTGTGAGTTGCACACCGGGCTCCAGGCATGTGGCATAAAATACGACTCCAGCTCGTGTGCTTCCCTGGCACTTCTACAGCTTTGTCAGGGATCCTGCGGCTCGGCCCCAGCGTGCTGCCTGCCATGGTTCATGCTCTTCATGTCTAAAGTTTGGATGCAGTCGTGGACAGGCCGGGTTATGTTCTGGCAAGATTGTATGCAAGGAGGGTTCACTAGAGGCCAGCCTTCTTCCAGAAGCTCTAGCCCAAAAGCTCATGAGCGGCAGCCGGCAGCCCACAATCTTTGTGGAGCAGTCGGGACAGTAGCACCGCGGCACACCCGCGCCAGGTCTTGCCAGACTTCTCCGCACCATCAAAGGCGCCTTTGCTCCATCATCGGCATTGGGCTTGAAGGGCTTGGGACCAGTCGAGAGACAAAGAGTGAGAGAGGCGGAGCGAGACGTTGTCAAAGAGTGTGTGCCCTTCATGTGGCATTGCAACATGCAGCGGGCAGACAGGCCCGTCATGAACCGCATATCACTCATCGCGTTGCTTCCCTATGGATGCATATCATGCATAGAGTGAGGGCGAAGAAAGTATCAGACTTAAATGGAATGTGTCAGACAGAATTCGTGGTGTTGCTTTGGGGCCTTGAGAAGCAGGTTGAGCGCACATTTTTTCACTTTTGCAGGTCCAAAGCTTCAGAGCCTGTGGGGCTGCAAAACCTTGGCAATACGCCTCTTGCCCCATTATTCGGGAGCTATTTGTGGCATTGTTGGTATTCGGACACACCAGGTGAAGTGCGTTTGCTTTGGTAGCTGCTTTCGGGTCAGCAAGGTGACATTCTGTGACAGCTCCGAGGTGTTTCCTCAATGCTGCAGTGCAGTCACTGGCGCATGCTCCTCTCTTCGCTCAGTTCTTCCTTCGCAGGTCAGCGTCTCAGGCCTTGAGGCCTTAAGGCAACAAAAGCGCTTGAGGCTGACCTCCTGTAATAAAAGTGCCAGGCGATTTGAAGCAGATCTCAACACGTCCAACCCGCTGGGCACCCGGGGGGTCACTCCGGCACGTTGCAGCGCATTTGTGGGTGGCGCGATGATGACACTGCACCCTGGTTTGTGGAGTCAGTTTTTGTTTGTTTGTTTTGTACACGTTGGGGTTGACGGGCGGGCCGGTGCGGCTTGGTGGTGTAGGCCGTCTTGCTGGGACATGCGCCTATGCAGGGGCCGGTCCACGCCACAGCACCACAGCCTCGGGGTCGGAATGATTGACGTCCAACAGAGCAAGAGCCTTGACGCCTCAAAGCGAACCAGACGATTTTCTGCGGTGTGTCGACACCCGACATGGCTTACCAAATCTGCCTAAGCATTTTTGCGAGAACGATTGTCGCATAGCCTGTTGTTGACAATGCTTCAAAACACCAACGCTGACTGAGACTTGGCGAGTATCTTCTGGTCTGGTCTTTCGGTGGTGCTTGGACGGAACGGTAAAATTCTCATTCTTCGACGGCCGAGCAATGATGTGGCTGAGAAAGCAAGACTTAGGGAGCGCAAGGAACACAGGAGAAGCAGAAAGGCAGCTAGAAGCAGATGGAAAGGAAGAGAGGAAGAATGGAGGGCAAGCACGAAGGAAGAAAGCTACCACACCAAAGGCAAAGTGAGCCCCAAGCGACATAGATGCAAAGACGCATGTCTGAACTGAAGCAAAACAAAACAGGCAAGAATTGGAAAGGATGTGCGCTCACCGAGCAGCTGCTCCATTCCCAGGGTGCCAAACAAGGAAGTGAGAACTGACTTGGTACTGGCTCTGCTAGTGTGGTTTCTGTAAGAGTCCTAGGAAACAGTCGGACATGCAAAGAACAAGATGTCTGTCGGGCGCCACCTCTCAAAACATTTGACCGCTCCTTTCGCTGAACACGGTCCTTGCCAGGAAATGGCTTCAGCCTTTGCCCAGCTACTTCAAAGACTCTTCCCGGAAGGCTAGGACGCGAGGGCGTTTCAAACAAAGTCGAAAACAAACATGGGATCAGAACAGTTGACGCAACGATTGTTACAGTCAGTCCTGTCGAGATTCCCAGATGGCAGCCGGCGACTTTCAGTGGAGGAGAGAAAGCTGAGAAGTCGCATCGCACCAGGCCTGCCTTCTCGCCGGAGGAGAGGGCCATGCAAGGTTCCTACCAGTAGGCCAGAAGAGCTATGAGAGCCAAAAGAGCTAAACCTCTTCTGGCAGGACTTCTACCGGACACTCTGCAGGCCGGGAGCTAAAAACAAGCTCAACAAAAGCAAGCGGGCACAGTATAAGAGGATAAGGTGACATCATAGTAGCTGGTGCTTGTTTTGTTATTTCATTCCTGTGCCTTTAGGCATTGCGCGCTGGTGGCCGAGCAGCCAGAAGCCCAAGAGTCGGCGAAGTCGGTGCAACCGCACGGGCCAATGGTGTGCTTACGGTGTGCTACGGCTCCAAAACCTGGATGTTTCACCTCAATGCAGAGCAGCAACAAGTATCAGGCCTGGTGTACAACAAGATGCCCAGGAGGCAGATGTGTGCGTGTGGTGGTTGTGGGCTATCCACTCTGTCAGCTCTTTGGCCGACCAAGAGTTCAGCTTGCAGGTAATGGCTTTTCTCCTTGACGCCATCCATGAGGATGCTTGTTGAAACCGTGTCCACATAAGGTCCCAAAGCAGAACCCAGAGCTCGTCGTTCTAATGCGCCTGCGCAAAGCTGTGAGCTACAAAATGCCGCGAGGACCTGAATCGGAATCGCCAACGTTCTGAGTTCAAGGCTCAAGCCCGTGGTCTCGCACGGGTGTGCTGCTTACGATTGCTTACTGGACTGCTGCAGAGGCCTCCCAAAGCTTCAGAAGTGACGATGCGCGCTGCGAGGAGCATCTGGCTGCGGAGGTGGAAGCCGGTGGAAGCTTTTAGTGACTTTAGTGAAGTCGCAGAGAAGTCGCAGAGCGGACGTCGCAGAGCGAAGTCGCAGGAGAGCCTCATCTCGTGCGCAGGCGTGGTATGCTCATCTGCAGCAACACCGCTCTGTTGTCGTCGACCTTTGCCAAGGGCAGCTGCGGTCGCAGGCGGAGCATGTCGGGGTCATGTCGGGCAAGTCAACACGGTGCAACGAATAGTCCCAAGAAAAAAGTTCAGAGCATACTCCTAGCCTCTAGATGCAGGTCCAGTGCTGCGAATGTGGCTGCGCACTTGGGGGTCTGAAGTGTTTGCGAAGTTTGGGGAGCCTTTCAGTGTCCAAACTCGAGAGTACTGAGGCTGCGCTTCGATCACCTTTGTGCATCGAGCTGATTACGTAAGATTTTTGAGATGTAGCGCAAATGGCAGCGCAAGTGGCAGCGCAAATGGCAGGACCCCTTCCTCTTCCTGTCCTTGCCAATGCCAAGTCACCTCTCGCGTGGTGCTGGCGGGTTGTCGAATCATTGCAGAATTTGTAGACTTTGTTGATGAGGGTAGTCACAAGGAAGTCACAAGCAAGGCACGAAGAAGTAACGCAAGCGGTCCTTGGGATGCTCGACATGCTTCGCGTAGCTTTTGCGTTCGGGCACTGCCAGGTGGCAGAAGGGCGCACATCGAGGCAAGTCCCTGCAGACATGCTCCTGTCATGCTCTTGCCATGGTCCTCAAGACAAAGGCTCTGGCAAGATCAGCCTTCCTAAGCTCCCACGCAAAAGCTGTTGGTTGCTGGCAAATTACCACACACGCACACGTCTTGCTGGAGTGTTTTTTCGATCGCTCTTCTGTAAACAAATGTCTCCATCCTGTCCCCACAAGCAAATCCCTCTGGGACCTGGCCTCGGAGCTTTGCCTTTGAACGCCGAGACGAACAAGAATAGAACCTTACGCAAGTCGCAAAGCGAAAGAAGCATCCTTCCGCGTGACGCCCGCTGCACGTGTGATTCCAGACGAAGCATGTGCTACCATCATCTGGACATGGCTGTCTCTGTTTCTGTCCTTGTCTTTGTCTTTGTGGTCGTCGAAGCGGCGGTAGTGCTTGGCGCTTCTAGTACCTCCGTTCCTACTGGTGCTAAGGTTTGTTTTTGCTTTGTGTTTTCTTGCGCTGCTCTCGTCGATTCGCTTGTAGTGCAACAGAAGAACATGCGAAGAAGCGTCGCCATCGCCCTGCCAGGAAGCGATCAAAGCGTTCTGTGTGGAGGAGAAACTTGCCGGAGATGACTCATGGGGCTGCCCAAGGCTGTTCTGCTAGGGCCATTGGATGCCACCGACCTTTCTCAAGAACTCCGTGTCTGAGAGATGTTGCTGTCGAAAAGTTTTGTTGAGCGATCCCTCGGGGCCTGTCAGAAGTAGAGCAAGGAATTGATCCATCGTGGGCTTTCAGGTGTGACCGGCGAGTAAGTGCTTCCAAAAGATTGTCGCTGTGGTCTGAGGCCAAGTTTGGACATGTTCCGCATTGCTTAGTGATGGTCTTGCGGATGACGCTGCCAAATTTGTCAAGTAGTCCAGAAGCTGCATCCCACATAGGCTAGACACAGACCAGATGGGCGTGTGTTTGTTTGTTCGTATGTTTACGTGTTTGCGTGTGACAAACATCGTTGTGCATGCTCCGCCCGTTGGGGGGGGGGAGGAAGGGGAGTCAGTATCGATAGTATTCACGAGCATGTGCGTCAGTGCCGGGCAACGGGAGTTACAGCTGGCACGCAGTAGCCGGGTGTTGCAGAGTCACACGGGCACAGGGCTCCTCCTTTCGCATTAGGGCCTTTGACCTGCAGCTTTTGCCCGCCCCCCTCCCCCTCACGTGGTACCCTCAGGCCCTATACATTACCAGTTTTCACTCCGTGTGGCTGCGTTGGCAGCCAGCACAGCTCTGCAAAAGTTCGAATTCGATCTGGCCCACAGCTTAGATTACATGCATGAGTTGATATGACGTTGAAGGTTCACACAGCTCGTGCAAAGCGATTTTTGCTAAGTAGAGAGAGCCTACAGGGAACTTGTTTGACAACTTTGGCCAGCAACATTGATGATACACCCTTTGCCAGCGACATCATGTGGATCGGAAGTGGCTTCCTCAGCTGAGGGAGTGTACATTACAGGCTGCAAACAGTACCACCAAGCTCTTGGAATTCGGCATGCGGGCCCAGATTGAGTCCCTATGTGTGCTTCATAACCGTCCATCCAGGTACGGTGGGCATTGTCCTGCGCATCCTGCTCCATCTTGCCAGAAGCTTTTTTTTTGCGGGGGAGGGGGGGGGCTTGGGGTTCTGTTTCGGCTTTGGTCCAATTGAATGAACGTCAGCTCTCGGGTGGTAAGGCCAATGCCTCGCAGATGCTGGAAGAACACTTGGAAGTCAACAGTCCGATAACATCTCATGTCAGGCCTGAGTTGGCTGATGTTGGCTGTGTAGCTTGAGCTCGGCACAGCTAGGGTTGACCAGGTTAAAGGAAGGCCTCTTCTTCCTTAGCAATGGCATCTCGCCTTATGCTGGAGACACCTGCGTGGACCCCAGTGCCGAAACTGCCCAAAGCTCCTGAGCAGAAGCTCTCCACAGCTCCACGAGGCCATCATCCACCGCTTCTGCTCTTCTTTCTTCAGCAGCTTGAGCAGGCCATTCTGTGGTTCATTTTCTTTGCAAAAGCCTCGACAACGAGCTTGTAAAACTACTTGTTGCTTGGTAGATATCTCCATGGGCGCACTTCGGCTTCCTGGTCTTCATCGATGTGGTGGGGCCCTGGGTTTCTTGGCCAAGTCGACGTGTTGTCAGGGAACTGATTCGAAAGTTCAGGTCACAGCGCTGCTCCTGCGGCAGCTTGCTGTTTGCTACCACCAAGCTCGGCGACAAGCCGGGCAACCCTGGTCAGATGCGTCGGATCCACAGCGTCAGCATATCCTGCCATTGGGCCACACATCAGTAGATTCATGTCTTGTGCGCACATGAAGGCAGAGATGTCTCACGCTATCTGGCAAATCAGCTGTCGTGGTCCAAAGCGCCTGCTAATTCACTCTCTCACTACCACTCTAGATTTATCTAATGAAGCTGCTTGACTTCCTTCTATGTGGCTACTGAATTGAGTAGTACCGCAGACCAGCCAGCTCAGATAGCCCCTTACCGGTGTGTCCATGACATCGACCACTCGGCACTGCATGGCGGATCTATCCGCGAAGAGACCGCCTGAAGCTCCGGAGGCGAGTGAGGGGTGGCGAAGCGCTTTGCTTCAATCTCCTCAACCAACTCCCAGGGCCTAGTGGCTAGGACAACTTGAGACGTAGGCTCGATGTTGCACAATTGGTTCAGCAGGATGCATGAGTACTGTGCACATTGAGAGACATTTTGGTTCACGTTGCGAGATGCTCTAGCTGCCATGGTGAGCTGTCGTCTAGAGATGTATGACACTGGTGAGAAGACGCAAAAACACATGGAACATCCGATGCCGACAGGGCGATGGCTCCGCCTCACAGCTGAACACGCCTGGCCTCGCACCTTGCCAGCACCCACGAATTTCTGCGTGTTATTGCAAGAGCTCCCGAGAGGTCCCGAGAGCTTGTAGCCTCGAACGAAGAGCCTGACACGGCAACTCACCTTAGAACGTCTGTGGCTATTCAGGGGCCTTTGTTTGCCCTTGTTTGCCCAAGAGAAATTACCACCTCGAACGAAGAGCCGCCTCGAACGTGCTCGAGGTGCGAGAGTCCTAACTCCGTTGTCTGATCAGTGTCTGACCAGAGACAGCTACTGTACCCTTACAGATGCCCGTGTCGGTAATGTGAGCCCCTCGGGCTGCTTTCAACCGCCCGTTCCCGCAAATGTGCCATGCTCTTTTTGCAAGAGCATGGCCTGCCAAAAGGCATCCCTTCTGATGCCTGCGTGGGGTGAGAACAGATTCCTGCCCAAGAAAATAGTGTCTGATCTTGCAGTTTTTAGAAACGAGCCAGAGTGATTCGCAAGATGAGGCATGTTGAGCTCACACATCCGCAAAAACGCTACAGGTTTACATGTTCTTGTGTGTGAAGTACTATCGTCGTCTAACCGCCCACTTTGGGCTGAAACAGGGCATGGCCGCTTTCACCAAGAAATACACTAGTCGGCCTGTACTTACGGCCTGCTGGGGCCTTGGGGCATTAAGTGGGGTTCCGAGTGGCTTGCATCGTGCATGAACCTGGGGTAAAAGTCCTCCAGCACTTCTTCAAAAGGCCTCCCTTGTTGCACTTTTGCCTGGCGCCTCCTGATGCCATGTCACACTAGATTCATATTGATATTGCTCTTCATCTGATGAGTGGCCCCACTACAGCTCCCGGGACCCTTGCCATACAGGGTCTCCGCCTTGACATTGTGCCCACACCTAGGATATACAGCATGCAGCCTACTTATGCTTGCATGCACTGCGCTCGGCTAGCCTTTTTGCCTTGTGCCGCAGCCGTCGAGAAGTTTTGTGCTTAACCTCTGTGAATGTCATCGCCTCGCAACAAGTTCTCTGGATTTTTCAAGCAGTCAAAGAACTGCTATACTTTCCAGTCTGACTGTTGCGCTTAGGCTTTTTGGGTTTGAGTCTAGGGTATAGGAAGAAACCATGTCGAAAAAATCGAAATGGGGCCAGCTGAACCTTGCAGCTTCGTGCTTGTAACTTGCTTTGTAACCTTCGTGCGCCAGAAGCCAGGAAATGGTGCCTTCAAGTGCCACGGACAGCATTGATGAACAGCAGAATGCTGGACTGGACATGTTGGTCAGACGCTTGCACGACGAAGTCATGCAAAAGCTGGAGGACCAAAACCTGCTATTGAAGAAGGCGCTGCAAAGGAAGATTGAACCTCCGGCGCCGCCGGTGTTGTTTGACGTTCAGGCTGCAGATTCGAATCCTTCAAGCCCATCGATGACATACAGTCCTGTTGTGCGTGAAGTGCCGTCACTTAGCGTTGGCACTGGCAGCGCAAGCGTGCAGGGACCTGACAGAGAATACAGAAACAAAGTGTGTACCTACACTAGCTTTGATATGCAGCTCAGGGAGGGGGCTGACACGTTGTCTAGCCGTAAGTCAAGAAAGGACTTCGCAGAAATCAATTGCAAGCAAGATACGCCTTGTGAGCGGCCGCCGAGAACGGAGAGGCTGAAGAAATTCGTACGACATCCGTACTTTGATGTCTTCTTCGCTGTTGTGGTGCTCACCAATGCAGTTTTTATTGGCATTGACCTCCAAATACGATTGACGAGACACGGGGATCAGCCAATCGCTTTGCGGGTTATACAGTACTTCTATGCCCTCTTATTTGCAGTCGAGCTTGCCTTGCGAATACTGGCCTTCGGCAGGAGGCTCCTCCTGTCTGAAGACTGGATGTGGAGCTTGCTTGACATCTTCATTGTTGCAACATCGCTATGGGAAATTGCTGCGGGCATCATGCGAGAGGTCGGCATGGAGGACGTGAGCAGCATCGGCGGAGTATCCAGCCTGAAGGCTTTCAGGATAATTCGCTTGACGCGCATTCTGAAGACCGTCCGAGTAATCCGACTCTTTCGCTTTGTCCTGGCACTGAGAACTCTGATCACCTCTATCTTCTCAACTCTGAAGTCGTTGTTCTGGGCTCTGATGCTGTTGACACTTATTGTTTACGTGTTCGCCATACTTTTTGCACAAGCGATTAGCGACTATCTCGAGACTCCTGATGCCGTCCAACTTCCTGAACGGGAACTCCTGGCGACCGAGAGATACTACGGTGATCTCTTCAACACCATGCTCAGCCTCTTCATGTCGATTGTTGGCGGCGTCAGCTGGGAAGAGGTGATGACGCCGCTCAAATATATTTCTCCAATCTGGGTTGTGCTCTTTATGTTCTACATCTCCTTCACATTCCTGGCAGTGCAACTTGCCTGGTCAACACATTGTTGAAGCTTTGTGCGCTGTTGCATCAGTAACATCGACTGGTATTCCCCGCTTCCCAAGCCTGCTCTGGTCTAGGGGAGCTTTAGGCGGGTAGCTTCCCTCATATCCCCCCCAACAAGCACAGACCTCAAATACCCTTATGTACCCCTTGCAAAAGCCTTTCTGCGGTGCCCGAATTCGGGGGGGATTCCTCTCCTTCACGGTACTTGCTTGTCCCGGGGCTTTCTCCTGCACTAAACCCCTACGACATTCCAGGACCAGCTTCCCTGCCTTCCTGAGGATGCTTTCAAGATCTACCACGGTTTGGGTGCTGCATTCTAGTCCATGTCCTGCTCAAAGGAAAGCGAAAAAGAGATCGGACCCGCTAGTGGCAAAAGCGGGAATCGTTTCGGTTCAGCCCGCTGAACTCGGCTCTTTGCAAGTCCCCAACAGGAAAAGGGGCACAAGGGGGAGCAGCGAGGCCCTGGCCCTTCAGGGAACTCAAGCGCTCAAGATTTGTTCTCCAGGTCTCCAGGAAAGCAGCCAGAAATACACTTAATAGAGTCCTAGAGCACAAACCTCCCAGCTCTCAAGAAGTATGAAAAAAAGCACCGTTGAAAGAAGATAGGAGTACTGCCGTGTGTTCATGCCTTTTGCCGGAGGGGAGCCGGGAAGGGCAACAGATCAAACGGAAACATCCCACAGAATTTCACAGAGACAGGGGTCAGCGCTCGCGGATTATATTTCATTTCGAACGTGAGCACATCGAGCTGGCCAAGGTCGACACAATCTTTCCCTGTGCGTCAGGCCTAGGGTGTGGAATGTGGATCGAAAGGGAGAACTGGGTCGATGCGCATGGGCACGATCGAACACACGTTGTCACACAATAAGAGACAATGATTCTTGCAGCCTCGCCTCTCGAGCAAGATGTACGCTGCTACCCGCACGTGCCCTTCGACCTCTAGTGAGAAGCCGAATGCAACACGTGCCCTTTGCAATGGCAAGAATCCTGGATTTTTTACCGTGTTTGCGCAGGGTGACATCCATCTAAAAAGTTCCCCCATGCCTTCATGTCGCAGCCGCTTTTAGTGAAACCCCAGTGGATGGTGGTCCGCCTCAACAAATCACGATTTAGTCGGGTATCGCACGTTTTGGTACTCAATCTAAGACGATCACATCGAACTGGGGATCAATAAAACCATCAGACATCATCTGAGTGCATTTGTTTCTGCAAGCGGTTATCTAGAACCTCGTCCCGGTTCTGTTAGGCCAGTCTCGCATTCGTAGTTGGCAAGTTTGTGTGATCTGCTCCCAGAAGCTGCGTGCCAGGGCGTGCGTGCTTGCGTCACAATTTTTGCGTTCATGTCGGGAAAGTTAAGCGGCTGAACGCCCCTTTGACGACGTTTATGATGTTTGCCTTCATCATCCATCTCCCAAGCTGTTCCCAAGAAACTTGATTTGTTAGTCGCACTGTTCCAAAGCTCCCAGGTTGAACGTGGTGACGGGAGTATTCTGCCAGTCCGCGATTGCTGCCTGGCCCTGTTTCAATTGCATTCGTTTTTGAGTGTTCCGGTTGCAGGAGTTCCCCAGCCCTGAAAATGAAGATCAGCGCCGCAGCGGTGGTTTAGTAGTGTTGCAGGACAGCGCGCAAAGTGATCAAGCCATGATGGTGCAGAACATTCTGGACGACAAGCAATCCCACCTGCAAAAAATCAATGCGTTGTTTAGCCAACTTGGTGCCGATGGCTCAGGGGCTATCACATACGAGATGTTTCTTGGGTGAGACACTCCATTATGTCCGGTTTTCCTGTCGTGCGATGTGTTTCAAGGGCTCGATGGTACAGTCTGTTGAGTCTGTTGAGACTGACAACTCAGGTTTGAAGAAAAGTTAAAGTCTCCAGCAGTCCAGCAATATTTTCAGACGTTGGGCTTAGATGTCTGGGATGCGTGGTCTTTTTTCAAGCTTCTGGATCAAGATGCGGGCGGTTCAGTGGAAGTGGAAGAGTTTTTAATGGGATGCCTGCGCCTACGTGGTCATGCGACCGCCATCGATGTGGTCAAGATTTTGCAAGATCAGGCGTGGATCATACAAACATCGGATCGATTCCACACGTACGTGCACGTGGAACTTGCGGGTATCAAGGAAGACCTCGAAGCTGTCACTTCATTGCTCGGAAATGGTGGGCGCCATCAACAGCACACGGCGAACCCGCAGTCTTTGACCAGAGAGGTTTGATGAGGACCTCCTTTGTTTTTTGGTTCGGGGATGAGACTTTGGACAGACTGAGTGCTGTCATTCATGTCAAAAGCTTCGAAAAGGGGTACCATCTTATTCAATCATGTGTGATGTTCAGTTGTGCCAACCAGCCTTTGACGACTTTCAATGTCCACTGAAACCCTGGGTGCAGCACTGCAATCAAATCGATGCCATTCGGCTGGCTATGCAGGATCGGACACGCTGCATGGGCAGCAAGATGCCTTGTGATGGATTGGTTTCACCCTTTCACTTCTTTGCCCTTCCGCGGCTGTATGCTTGCATTTTGGCATCGACTATAATGACTCCGTGGGGGTGCAACATGCTCAATTTGCATTGGCCACATGCGCTTAAAGATTCTGTAGCTCACAGCATCACGTGGCCAGTCCTGTGTTTGCTTCCGCCAAAGGCGGAGTCCATATCCACTCATCAGACAGTCACAATGTGCCTCAAAGTGTGCCTCAAAGTGTGCCTTCGAGTGTGCTTCTCACAGTGCATCAACAGGTCCCAGAGGGGAGCACAATTCTATGACAGCGTATCATGCTACTGCGGGCCTAAGCTGCTGCTTAAACATGCGGAGTTCTGTTGTGTCTGAAGATTTAAAGTCCCTACGGAGTCCCCGAGACGCAGAGTCCGATTCGCAATGTCTTTCAGGTCCTCGGCAATGATCGCCAGCACCACGCTGACCACGATGCAAGTTGCGGAGGGCCTTGAGGAAGGGGGTGGGGGGGTGGGGGGGGGGGGGCGTGACTTCCCAATGTTTGCCAAGGGGTCATGGCAGCTGTATAGCTGACAGGATGTCATGAGCCCGGCCTTCGTTGGTTGGAACCTGAGATGACTTTGAGTTCAGGAGTTACACAGTTACTCCGAGAATGCGTCGGGCCAAGGCTTGTTCTACCTCCTGAACCCGCTGACAGTTGCAAGCTGCCACCGCCGCAGTTACGACGAGCATTTGCAAGAGGTGCGATGGGGAAAGAGAGCCCGAGGTGTGGCTCTGTCTGTGCAGAACCTGCAACACCTCTTTCTCGTCTTCGCCGTCGTGGCTGCCGGGGCCAAGCTCCCGGAGGGTGGAGAGTGGAACTTCAAGGTTACTACTGTAAGATCTCAAGCTGAGAAGTCAGCAGCACCGATCGGAACATGTTGGACCGGCGCTTCATAAGCAGATAAAGAAGATCGTAATATCGAGCATACAGAACAGCTGTTCATGTTTATAGTTATATGAACGGTGGTCGCCCCCCGGAATGGAACAGCCTCAACATTTTCCACCCTCAAGCAACGCCATAGTTGCCGTCCGGTGCGCACACTTTGCTTTAGGTACGTAGGCGAGACAAGTTGTGTTACTTCATCTGAAAGGATGTGGCACCTAATTATGTATAACAAACACATGAAAAAGGGGCCAGGTCAGCACACATAGGGTTAGAAGCTCTCTTGCACGTTATTGTTGAAATATGCTCGCGAGACCATGTATGCATCTTCGCATTGCAGTCTTTCTTCCTTTTTGCTCTGTCCCAAGCATATCTGAATAAGTGTGAACACGACTTCGTTAATTTTTGCTTGTTGAATGCTTATCAGACTTCATGAAGATCCTTGTGAGTTCACTTACTCAATTCTGTTCAATCCTATCAGACTCTTAAGAAAGTCGCAAACACCGAATGGCATCTTATGAAATTCCTAACATTCCTTTGCAAATGTTTCAGTTCTTTGATGTCGAAAGTTTAGCATTCGTTGTTCTATGAGATGATCTAACTCCCCTCATTGGGATCCCATTAGCATCCGAACTTTTTGAGCAGCGAACACGAAAATGTAACGGGGATCTTCAGAGCATAGTCAATACGATGCTTATTGGAAGCCAACTGGGCTTTTACAGGTTTTGCGAAACTAGCTCTGTTCAATCCTTTTAAGCCCCTACTAAATAGATTGCAGTCTACAGTCTCAGTGGCTGCGTGCCAGCATCCCATGAACCTCATATGCTGAACATGCCATTGCAAGGGAGTGAGGGTCAGTCGAAAAAAGTGCTCATGAGTCAAGGCCCCTGAGTCCCCTGAGTCGAAAACGCGATGTACCCCCTGACAGAAAATACCCCCAGAAACGTGAGTCGAAACATAACCCCTGCCTGAAAACCCAAGCCTACTCCTCTCCCATGCAGTTGGGATTTAGGGTTTAGGGGTGTTAGGCTTTAGGGTTTAGGGTGTTTTAATGTGTTTTAGTGTTTAGGGTTTAGGAGGATTTTAGGGTTTAGGGTTTGGGGTTTTTTAGCGTTCAGGAGTTTTTGGGTTTAGAGTTTCAGGATTTTTAGGGTTTTGGGGTTTGTGCGGTTTAGGGCTCAGGGGTTTTAGGCTTTAGGGGATTTTAGGGTTGAGTTTTTAGTGGCCTTTCGGGAGGTTTCAGGTTTGGTGCTTTTGACGTTTAGATGGTTTAAGTGTTCGTGGTGTGTAGGGTTTAGGGGTCTTTACGGTTTAGCTTCAGCCCCCGCCCCCCCTCCCCCTCCCCCTTCCCATTCGCAAACACAATGCTCACATGATGGGGTTTTAACGCCTTCATCTATGCTTGCAGCAAGCTTGCATAGGGACCTATCTGAAAACGATAGGGGTCTATCGCCCACATTAGTCTATGTCAGAGCTCACCTCCCCCCCCCCCCCCCCAAATAAAGGGCCTTATCCTACCTATGGGAGGTGCCGATGTGGAGGTACCTGTCTATCCCCCTGAAGATAGACGGGTAGGGGTAGGGGTCTAAAAAGAAAAAGTAAATAAATAAATAAATATATATATATATATATATATATATATAAAGTAGGTACCTACCCTAGAAGAGATACACGGCTACTTAGCAAACAGTCCATTTCGTTGTAGAGATTAAGCTTTGTCTGCTTGGGGCCGTTTTCTGACTCATTGTCTTGCTTTCTGACTCGCGTCTCCTCGGTTTTCTGAATCACGCCTTTCCGTTTTCTGACTCGGTCTTCCTTGTTTTCTGAGACGGTCTTTGGAGTTTTCGACTCGTTTTTCTGACTCGACCCTCACCCAAGTCATTGCAAGGTATTAGTTGTTCTGCTGGTTAAAGTCTTGTCGAACTTCTGAGGTCATAGCCAACCTTCGCTAGAATTTGACAAGTGTCCCAACTTTGCGAACAATGAACACTGTTGTAATGGGATCCTGAACAGCTTAATCAACGATTAGTGAAGCGAAGTTTTGTCTTCAAAATTGCTAGGCTTTACGTACGTTGCGGGAAGGCTTCCTGTAGCGAAATGTACATTCGAGAAGGTAGGGGCTCTCTCTAGTGAGGTATCCGCTTCAGTGATGCACATGCCAGTTCTCAGGCTGGCAAAGGCGGGTTGAGTGCCGCCGGCATTGCTGCGTCGCTGTACGTCGTGGACTTACCAATTGAAGATCTGCGCTTTGGCTTCATCAATCGTGTCAGTGCAGGTTTGTCCATTTACACCGGTCCTGCTTGTTCTGCCGTGCGCTTGTCTGGCCTACAACCAGCGACCTTGCTGCAAGTGGACATTTTGCAAGTGCTTCGCACAGCACTTCGCAAGTCGCGACTCGTTCTTGCAGCTGAAGCGCTTCCGACGCCGAAATTCGCACGAAGGCAGCGCTCTGTCGAGCGAGCCAAAGAAGACCGTGAGCATTCCGAGCGCCTCAGTTGCAAGCCAGTTGACACATGTAGGAACTTGTTCGACAAGTGTTGACACGTGTTGACACCTTGAAGTGTTCTGACCGATTTCGACATCATTGCAGACACTCAAGCGCAAGGTACGATGCATTGACAAAGGGACAGGTCGTCTCGCCGATGTTTATGCAAAGTGGCCAAAGTACACACGCCTGTGTACATTGATCACTGTGGTCCAAAGAAGTGTGTCAGGTCAGCCTTGGCTTCCTCATGTACAGTGCTCCGTGGCTGCGTCTAGATTCTAAGTGCTCTAAGATGGCTTACATTGTTGCCGAATTGTTACAAGTACCATTGTAAGCCTTCACAGTTGTAGGAATGCAGAGCCACTGGCTGACCGAGAGGTTTGCTTCTTGATGGTGGTGCTCTGCTCCTTTGTCTGCCTCTTGGGGGCGCCTTTTCCGCAATTAGACAAATCAGACAGTTCTTGCATCTCGTGGATGTCCGAAGAATCATGCACTCTATCCGGCTTCCAATAGTTTGCATGGGTGGGAGCCAGCCAGGCATCAATGGCTGCCATGGCAGGCGAGCTGCAGTTCGTGGAGGCAGAAGACGAGTGTTTGACAACAGTGTTTGACAACAGCCTCTCGCCTGCCTTTGCCACCCATTGCTAAGGCTGCCTTCTTGTCAGTACTCAGCATACGCGACCTGACCCCGAACACTGGCTTTTTCTGGTACTTTTTCATCGAGGCCCCCGGTCGCTGGAACTGTGGGAACTTCACTTGCCGAAGCTGCTGTCTACTGTCTGGTCAGGTTTTTCAGCGCTACTACTTGCTATTCGTGTTTGCTTTCCATGCCCATATCCTTTTCTACTCAGCTTGGAGCCTCAGTGTGCCGAGATGTGCCGAGTGTCTTGGAGTTCGATGCATGGCTCGATGCACGGTCACCACCCTGAGGTCCCGCTTCACCTGCGCCTCGGGAGCTATGCGCCTACAGGGCACCTGCCTCAGAGCCATCGTCACGTGCACCGAAAGCACGCGCAGATCGAGACGTCAGACCTCGATGAGGCCCTTCATCCATTGCAGCGCTGCGATTGGCATGGTGGAGCCTGCTCATCTTGACCGTCACTCCAGTCCGAAGTTTTGTTACTCTTCCGTTTCTTCTTTGTGCAAGTTGCTGACCCGATGTCTTGCCAGATTTCCCTTTTCAAGCCCTATCCGACAGCCAGTGCCTGCAGCCGCATGGGAGAGAGCGCCCTCCAAGCATCCCTTACCGCGTCTCACGCCGTTCTCCAAGGTGACTACGCCCTGATGGTTTCGGCCATGCTTGTTCAAGCCGAGCTAATTCGAGAGAGCCAGCGCCGGCCTCGCAGAAATTCGCAGAACCCTCGTTGTCCGTGTGTGTGTGGCAAAAAAAACACACTTCCCCGCATTGTAACGGCGCCCAGGCGCTACTTTGCTTTCCTCCTGAGTGGCGTGATGTTCGGCCTGTCCATGGTTCCCACCATGGTGGCGGCGCTGCGCTCAGCCGGAGGAAGAGTTCCCCGGTTGCCAGGCATTCCGGGATTTCTGGGCTTCAGCTGAGCTGCGCAGCTCTCTGGCCGGTCGGATTAGGAAGCTGTGCGAAGGTTGAGTCACGCTGCCTCAAAAGTACAGATTGGTCTGACCATCAGCGAGCCATGCTTAGAAAAGGGGTGGGCGGGTGGAATTTGTTCATCACGGGAAATGATTCATCCTAGTTCCATGGGCAGAACTGAGGTCTGGTTGGGCAGGAATGCAGGTGGGGCCCTTGAGGATGCTTGCAGGCATGTTCTGATGATCGGTGCTCCGTGCACAGGCAATGCCAACTACCTGTACAACATGACGCTTGTGGTGAATGCTCTGCTCTGGGTGGTTTTGCATGCCCCACCAACGCAGCACATTTTTGAAGTGCCACGAGGTTTTCGGATCCTTGACTTTGTCGGAATGGGCCCCTCACCTGCGCCGAGTTCTTTCATGGACGTTCAGACTGAAGTTCGTTCGTGCTGAGGTGAAAGCTGGCATGCGGCTACGAAAGCGGCAGTTCCGCTTGGCATACTTCCGCAAGCTTGTTCTGGCAGTGGCAGATGAGGCAACTGTGCAGACGCAGCTTGTGCACATAGATTGTTTCACTTGACTTGTTCCAGGTGTCAGCCAACCCAGCTGCTGCCAAGGCCAATGCCGACTCAACATGCAGACTTTGCGGCAACGTGAATTATTCCGACAGTCGTGACTGTGACACCAGGCGAGAGCATCTGTGCCAGCTCCTGATGCTGACACGACGGTGACATAA